TTCGGGATTCATGGTTGTGCTGACTTGTAATATAGTAATGCTGCCAATTATGTTTCATAATTATAACTCAATGAAGAGAACGTGAGACAGAACATATCAGGTAATTACAGTCACAACACTAAATGTCTCAGGCCATGTTTCTGTGGGCTGAAGCTAACATCTGAAAGGCCTTGGGCTGCAAAATACATCCAAATCTGTATATTGGATGTACAGCACTTTACCTACCCAACAGATCCCTTCATCTGGAATATCAGGTGTCTGGCCAACATCCCACAGCCAGTCACTCCTGCGTGCAGTTTCACAAGCCACTAAAGCCAGCCTAAGTCTGTGCTGCCACCCAAAGGCCAGTGCTGCACCTCCCCAGGTGGCTCTCAGCTTTTGCAGACGTGCGTGGGGCAGCATTGCTGCTTGTGCCTGTGGCTGTGAGATGGTTCCAGATGGTGATCTGAATGGGGAAAAAGTAAAACACGGTAATAACATTTCCAGATTTCATAGCACTCTACTCTGGTGTGCATAAAACCACAAAGGGGACAGCGTAATCTCACTGAAAGGAGCTGGGAGACAGGGACGCTTCAGCCTCAGCCCCAGCTCTGGGGACAACAACCCTCTTATCAGCTCTCCGAAGTGCAGGAGCTGATGCTGACGTCCTTGCCCGTCCTGGCTGTGTGTGAGCCCTGCAGCCGAGCACGCCACTCACACCCCGCTGCTGCCTGAGCGATGCAGGAGCAGCAGCAGCCGCACGGTGCGGGCCGGCTGCACGGGCACGGACCTGCGAGAGGCAAAATGCCCGCGTGAGCAGCGAAGCCAGCCCTGTCCTCTGCACAACAAGTCCAGCTGAGCCTTGTCCCTGTGGAGATGGCACCTTGAACCTGGCTGAAGGATGGAGGAAATCCGAGGGCCTGGGAAGGATGCAGCGGGGCAGGTGGGATCGCACACAACCCCTCCGATGGGGACCATCAGGTCCCAGCCTGATGTCTCCTCGCACCCTGCTGGGGGCAGCTCTGAGACTCAGCAAAGCACCCGCAGGGGACGCAGCGCCTGAATTTCGGGATGTGGCTGCGGGGGACGGAGGCAGCGGCCCCGCACGCGAGGAATTCGCGGGCGCTGCGATTTGCATAGCCCCGCCCACTCATCCCGCGCGGCCAATGGGAGGCGGCGGGGCGGGGCCTGCCGGGTGCGATCCCCCGCGCTGCCCGCGGCGCGCCCCGCTCCACGCGGCGCCGCGCGCCCTGCCCGGGAGCCACGCGTGTCCCGCCGGGGAGCCGCGCGTGTCCCGCCCGCCGCGCACCGTGCCCCGTGCCCGCGGAGCCTCCTGCCCGCGGAACGCCGCACGTCCCGCCCGCGGAGCCCCGCAGCCTGCCCACGGAGCCCTGCCCCACGCGCGCCGGGACACAGGTGAGCGGCGGAGCCCACGCAGCCGCCCGCCCACCCGCGGCAGCGGCTCCCGGCGCTCCGCTGGCGCCGGTGTCACCGCCGGGCGGGAGCTGCCGGCGGGGCCGGGAGCGGCGCAGCGCGGTTGCAGCCGCCCCCGGTGCCGTGCCCGGGCGCGTGGCGCCGGGGCCGGGGGTGCCGCGGCCGTGGGGGCCGGTGCGGGGCCGGCGAGCCGGTGGCGAGTTGGTGGCGAGCTGGTGGCGAGCTGTCGGGCGTGCCCGGGCATATCCCGGAGCCCTGCCGCCTTCCCCAGGGTGGGCGGCGGGGGGCGCCGGCGGGGCCCGTCTGGGGGCCGGGGTCGGGCCGGCCGCGCGTGGGTGTGTGAGAACCGATGGCAAGTTGGGCAGAGCTCCCTGCAGCTGCTGCTCGGGTTGCGAGCCCCTGCTCCTTCCGCGCTGTACCTGCGTGAGGGTGTTCGTAATTGTAGTAAGAGTTGGAGGGAAAAACAGACGCTGCAGATAACCGGAGTTGTTATTGCAAGCGAGGCAGTGACAGTTGTGAATGAGTAGAAGTGAGGAGAAAAACAAAAAGAACAAAAAAAAGAGAGAAGATAAAAAAAAAAAAAAAACCACAAACATAAAAATCAAAGGTTTCACTGTAAAGTGGTAGTTCTGGAAGTCTTAGTTGAGATATCTCACGAGTCACAGACACCCAAGAAGGATGACCAGAATTTCACTCAGTTTATATGAACACGTGCAATTGTACGTGGGGGCCCTGTGACTGAAGGTATCCTGGTGCTGAGGGTGTCTGCTCCGGCAGGATGCTCTATTCTCCTTTCCCGAGCCCCGTTTGCCCACCACAGTTTCTCATGCAGCTCCTCTGGCATAGGCAGCCCTTCCTTGGGGCCTTGGGTGAGCCGCTGCTGTGGGCAGGGGTGAGGCTGTTGCCGGGTGGGTGTTTTGTGGGACTGTAAAGCTGAATGGGAGCAACAGCAGAAGCAGCAGTGATGCACTATGTCCTGTATTGCGGGTGGTTTTGGTAGTTTCAAATATCTCCCTTTGCACTTGGAATGCAAGGAGCAGAAAGTGAACGTAGCCTTGAGAGTACTGCAGGGCAGTAAGGAGAGGTGCAGCTTCTCCCAGGGTACCTCCAGTTCTTGTCTGCCATTAGGATGCTTTCCCCTAAAGCAAATATAAGTTTCCAGCCACTCCACGCCAAGTAATTAGTGGACAATTTTGTGAGCAGAACTTACAAATGTTTTGGAAAACCTACTGATTTCCAAAAAGAGCATGGAAAGACCAGGTTAAATCTTTTTTTTTTTTCCCCCTATTCTGTTTCTCTGAGCGGTGTTCTGGTCTACCAAGCATCCCCTAAGGGTGGCAGGTCACTCCCCACATGCTGGTTAGTGAAGGAAGGCACACAGAAATGCTGCCTGGTGAAAAGGACTCCGGGTTAATGAACAGGAGAGGAGGAATTAATGAGCAAGAGGCTGGGGTTATGCATTGCCATATGCAAGACGTACAGTCATATTTTCCACATAACCTTTCTTTTTTCCTCCCTCCTTTTCACTTGCAGTTTTTATTTGGGATATTTGTTCTCTAGCTCTGTTTCTCAATACATACCAGCATTCCTTTCGAGGTCCTGTTAGTGCCTCCTGGCTCTGCTAGGCAGTAACTTCATTCATGAAGCCGCCCATTGGGATCTGCTTGGGCAGCCCGGCCCCTTGGCTCGAGCAGCGGTGCCCAGGAGCTGTTCCCTGTGCACAGACACAAGGACACCCAAAGGAGAGGTCTTGGCTGGGGCTCTCCCAGCAGTGGGGGCAGGCAGAGACCCCCACCCCTGCCTGGAGGGGGGGGGGGGGGGGGGGGGGGTTGTGGGTCCATGTAGGGGTGGCCCAGGGTAGGGGCTCGTGGGGCTGACCTGCTGCAGGTCCTGCCCTGCCCAACCTCTGTACCTGCTGCGGTGGTGACATGGCAGGGACCAGGAGCAACATTGTTTGCACTGACTTTTTTTTTTTGGTACCCCTTCATTTATTTCCTCCTCCTTTTTGTTCCCTACCACAATCCATTAGCTGGACGCAAAAGGGATTGTATAAATAGTTCAGATCCCCATATAGTTTTAAGTTTTTTGAAAGCTTAGTTTTCACAGGAAAAAGAGAATCAGGGCTCCAGAGCTGTCACTGAGGTAAATGATCTGGGACTCGCACTGTAGCTTTGATGAAATGTTTTTTTATCTGATGATGATGATCTGATGAAACTCATTCAGCAATTTACATTTTTGCTGTCTCAGTAATAACACAGCAGGGAGCACACGCTGCTCACCCAACTCAGGCAATTGTCCTGTTAAGACAATAAAAAAGTTGCGACTTCTTATAAGTTAGAAGATTTCACACATCTTGAAACAATGGCAGTATGTTTTGCTGCCTTCCAGCTGATGAGTACATTGATACCACACCAGGTTTATATTGATCTTTGGCAGTCACCCTAAGATCCTGTGTAGTTTTCAGAGAGGTGGGAGGGGTTTGTTTTTGTTTTTTTACTTTCAGCTAATTAGGACTAGTCGTTTTCATTGTTCATTAGACAATCAGAAATTGCTGCTTTACCAGGGCAGTGCTATGTGGTTTTTGATGTGTGGTTCATTTACAAATTAAATGTCTTGGTGTTCAGGTATTGTTAATATAAAAAGGTTTTTAAGAAGTACCATCGCTTTGAATTTCATGCCAGATATCCAAGAAAGCTTTCATTCCACTTATCATTATATTGTGGCTTGAGAAACAGCAGGCCTGGTCTATGCTTCACAGTTTTGCTGGCATGGCTGTGGTGTGATGTTTCCCCCGCCATCCCTCAGCGATACCGTCATGCTGGCAGGTGTCCTAATGTACGCGTACTTGCACTGGCATAAGATTCCTTTTGCCTGTGTAACTTTCTCTATTTGGCAAACTGGTTTAAGCTGTGCCCCTCCTGGGGAGGTAGTCTGGAAGGGATGTGTCCGTATCTGCAAACCCTTCTGACATGCAGAGGAGTCTGTAAATTCACAAGAGAAAGAGGTCATGGCAGCAGAAGTTGTTTGCACTACAGTTTCACCAAGACTTCCTTTGACACCTGTATTTCTTTCTTGTATTACGAGGACACTTTAGAGAGCTGATAGGCAGGCAGCCTGAAGTCTTGCCTCCTTTTCTCTGAGTTCAGCCCCGGGTACCGGAGTATCGGCAGTGCTGTGTGGGCAGCCCGGCGTGGTGGGATCCTGCCAAGGCTTGGGGCCCTGGAGCCCGGAGGAGCAGCAGCCTGCCAGCCTGCTGGAGTGGTGGCTATCACCCGTGCTCAGCCTGTCTCCTGGTTTTTTGTTTCTCCTCCTTCATTCAGCCTGTAGCAGGAGCCTAACACTGAACTTGAATGTTTGTCCTTTGACAATGGCACAGAGGTCCCTCTTCACCACCTTCTGAGATGGTGACAAATTTCCTTTATTTATTCTATACTGTCAGTAACCTTTACACTATTTATAGGTTGTGATCCTGCCCCTCCCGAGATGTTTGCAAGATAAATTTAGCTCCCTTAGCTTCTCATTGCCGTATGTCTTCACATCCAATCCTCGCTGGCTTTCACTGCCTTTCCTTGTAGCAAGTGAGCCGCTGGCCATGTGCGTGAGCTGCAGTAAGCAGTGACTCACCTTCTAAGCTTGTCCGGGGCAGACTTCATCTCAAATGAATCCTGATGGTTCAGAGACTGGGGAGCCTGGCCAAACGTCTGCTTCCTAAAGGCAGTCTGCATGGGAGTGGTGGGGGATTAGACAAAGTCCAGAGAAAGCCCGCAGAGACTCGAGCGTGTGCTGCAGGACACTTGTATCTGTGCCTGCTGGTGGAGCAGGTAGGATGCGAGGGGCTGTCGCAGGAGGGGGTGGTGGGGAGAGCTCGGTGGCCGTGCAGTCCTCTTCTTGTCCCCCTGGTCTGCGCAGGGGTCTGGCAGGGTGCTGTCCTCCCGGCTGAGCCAGCCATCTCCTGGGGCCCTGAACAGGACAGCTCTGGCTCAAATGCCAAGTTTCCCAGGTGTTTCAGACTGTTTGGAGTGGTGCTCTTCAAAAGAGTGTTTCCAAGTGTTTCCTGCTCCTGGTGGGTGTTCAGAAGTTAACAGGTCTTGCTGTCAAGGCAGGATGAATTTCTCTACTGGTTGGCTGCAGAAGGTTCAGAGAGAAGTAGAAGAAAGAGTGGTCCTGTGGGGGTAGATTTTATTTAATTTCTGTCATGATAAGAACCCACTTAGAATATACAGAAAAGCACAAACAGCCCTGAAATGGTAAACAAAAAAAAGTTGCTCGGTTTTGTAGCTTTGGGTTTTGTTGCTTGTTCTTGGTGAATCTTCAGTCTTGTGTTCTCTCATGAGCCACACTCACTGAAGGTGGAAATTGTGTTTCCACTGAGACTAGGGGCAGTTCTGTCGTTAATTTCAGCAGATCCATTCATTCCCCTCGGAAAGGCTCTGGATGGTGTTTTGCAGGGAGATGGGTGCTTGTCTTGGCAGCCCTCCGAGGCAGCTGCAAGTGAGCCCATGTCATGCTGAGAGCTTCGAGCAGCCTGCGCAGCCCTGGGCTGTGGCTGTGGGGTCTGGGCGTGTGTCCTGGCTGGCTGGGACTGCCTGTCGTGGTGCTGGCCAGAGCTTGGCTGCCAGATCCCTGAGCTGGGGCTCATCCCTCTGGGTGACAGTCTGGGGTGCCCTAAAATACAGCTGGAGCCAGCAAAACCCACTACCTGCCCGTTGAACCAGTGGCTTGAGTGGTCACAGTATCTAGCTTAGTATTTCTTCTACCTTGAGGACTGCAGTATGGCAGCAAAATCGGGTACTTTGTCTGCAGCCTTTCTGAGAAAGCATCTTCTTTCCTTCCTGAGCTTTCTGTGCAGGCTGCTGCGTGGGTGAGAGCAGGCAGTCTGGCTCCTGCCAAAGTGACATTCTTGGTGCATAAGAAGTGCAGGCTGTCTTCCTGGCCAGTGTGGAAACTTTTGCCCAGAAAAGGGCACGTTGCTCCTCGTAAGTATTGGGACTTGCTATGACCTCTGCTTTTTCTTCCTCCCTTCTTCAGGTTCCGGCACCTCCCCAGCCTCAATGGACTGCAAAGAGAGCGAGGACCCGTATGAGCACAGCAAATGCACCCCATGTCGAAACTGCATGCCTGGGCAGGAGCTTTCCAAGGTAAATTGCTCTGGAAGAACTAGGAATCATCTAGCACCAAGGTTTTTACAGTGCTGGATGAGTCCTCTGCTAATTGTCATTAAGAAGGATGATCCCCATACATTAGAAGGAGATGATCCTCTTTGGGAAGGGAAGATAAGTGGTTTCACTCACCTTGCATAGGAGGGTGAGAAGACAGAAGTAAAAAGTGGGGAGGAATTCCAGGTTTCTGCTCAGGTGGTTCTCTTTTTGCCAAAGGAAATCTGAATTTTCTCCCAGTCAGTTTGGAGGACCTTTACACCACATGCCTCCAAAGAAGAGATGCTGTTTCTTTCAGTATAACCTGGGGTCCTGAAGTGGCTTCTCACTGCAGCCCAACCTCGTGTCTTGCAGGAATGTGGTGATGGTACAGGGGGGGATGCGCAGTGCGTTCCCTGCCCACCCAGGAAGTTTAAGGATAGCTGGGGCCATCACAGCTGCAAGCCCTGCCTGTCCTGCGCTCTCATCAACCGCATCCAGAAGTCCAACTGCACAGCAACGACCAACGCGGTCTGTGGGGAGTGCCTGCCGGGGTGAGTAGGGCCGGATCCCTGCCCCAGGCCCGCAGTGGTGGTTACCCCGGGAGCGTGTGGGGAGGGGTTGGCTACAGGGAGCTTCCCCTGAGGCCGCTTCTCACACGGTGCTTAGGATGAGCCCTGGTGGCCCAGAGCTGCCTCTCTGAGGAACCACAAATCAGAGCCATCTGAAGGGAACCTGAAAGCTCCCGCGAATGAGCAGTGGAAGACTTCCAGGCCTGAGCTCTTCCTGTGGACACCCGGGTGGCCAAGCCCCGGAGGAGGAGTGTCTGTTGACCACTGCAATTAGCAGTCCCTGAAGAGGAGGGTAGAGACCATACCTCGAGTGATGGGTGCCTCTTTCCAAGCACAGTCATGTGGAGGAAGCTGTGGTTTCTTTAACTGTTGATTTTTAGCTAATTTTTTAAGGAGTTCCTGAAGTGAAGACTGCTACATACAGCCCATGAAATGCCTGAGAGCTGCAGACCATTTCTTAGCAAGCAATGTGGTTTGTGACAGAGGAATGTCAGAGCTCTGGTTTTTGAATCCCTTCCCAGACCAAGTTGCTAGCTGGAGTTTTTCTGTGGTTTTGTGGAGCTATTAATCACCATCGCCCTCCTTTAGCAAGACCCGGGGAAGGGGGAGGAGGGAGGCGGGAGGCTGCTTCTGGGTGATGTCACTCCTTGGCAAAAGCAGCTACCGAAGTGAAAAAGTAGCTCAGAGCACTGCGTGAGCCGGCATCTGGGAGAGACATGGTGCCTCGTGCCTTCTCGGCATGCTGTGGCACGAAGGAGGCTCGGCTGCCGCCGGCTGAGGGAGGCGGGCGCGTCTTCTTGTGGTGGGGGGGGCGTGAGCTGGCTCCTGGCCCCACGCTGCTGAGAACCCTCTCTGCTCTCTTACAGGTTTTACCGCAAGGCACGGATCAGCGGGCAGCTGGGCTGGGAGTGTATCCCGTGCACCAAGCAGACGCCCTCCTCTGAGCCCCAGTGTAGGTGCCCCACAGCCCACCTCCTGTGGGTGGCCTGGCCCTTGGGTGCAGGGAGCAGGGGGACGGGGCTGGGCAGCTTCGTGGTGTGCGTGGGAAGTTGTTGTGACCGTGCCAAAGGTGTGTGTTCGGATGTGCATTTGCACCATCCTTGAGCCATTGCTGCTTGTTCTCTCCACAACACTGAACCCCTGTCCTGTGTGGGCCCGATGGAAGAAGCTTGTTTGTTATATGTGAAGGGTGAAGGGGCAGGGAAGGGGTGGCCCAAAGCCTTTGGGTCGGGTTCCAACACTGTGTCTGGTGTGTGTGCAGGTCGATCCAGAACAAGCCTGGTGAAAGTAGCAGTCCCCACGGTACCTCCCCAGGACACAGCCCTTCTCGCACTGACCAGCAGTGCCCTAGTCATCATTGTGCTGGTGCTTCTGGCCCTCTCCATCATCTACTGCAAGCGGTTCTGGAAGAGCCAGTGCCAGCGAGGTGAGTCAGTGCATGCAGCATTTCTCTGTTCTCCCTTTGCTGTTTATACATGTTTCTGGCCCCTTTGTTGCTGGGTAGAGCACTGTCCTGAGCGCTGGAAGTCAAACATTCCTCTATTCATAGAGAATAGATGGCTCATCCTGCTTTTTACATCTGCAGGACTTCTCTTGCTTTTTTGTACCTGCACGAAGACACAGAGGAGCCTCCCTCCTCCTTACTACCATAATTAGTGGGAGGAAAATGTCGTTTTGCTGTCAGTTGGCATTCTCTCTTGCTGGGGCTTCTCAAGGGCAGGTAGATGTTAAGTGGCTTTTTGCAGTGCAGGACCAGTGGGGCTGGAAGTACAGAGGTAGGAAGGAGTATGTTTGATGGCCCAGGCTGGGGTGCATTCATGTTGGCATTCACCAGACGGTGAGCCAGGGAGCTGCTGTCTCCCAGCTCCTCGCCAGCAGACATACCATGCAGCTGAGGCCATGCTAGGGACACAAGCCAAGCCTTTGCTCAGACTGGTTCTTCTCTATCCTCCAAGTCTTCCTGAGGACTCAGAATTTCTCAGGCCAGCGAGCGATGTTCCCCACGTCGGCTACACCTGGCAGGTTTCTGTGTGAAGAGCAGATGTCTGGTCCCTGCTGCCTGGGCGTGAAGAACCTGAGCCCCTGCTACAGGCAGGCGGAAGGTACCCGTTCCTCTCGCTTTCCTCTTGGGGGGGAAGGGAGGACAATGCTGGGCTCCAGTTCACACAGTCTGAAGATAATCTGAGACTTTCTGAGGAGGGAAGACGGAGAGTGTCCAGGTTCCACCAAAATGAAATTTGGGTCTTCTGTTAACAACTGCTTGCAGATTTTGTACCAGAAACACTTGCACTCAGCTCTGGTGGCTCTCAAGCCTCCATCCAGCCATGTCCTAGCTGTCACTGTGGTGGGGGTGGCACAGATGGGACTCAAAGCTTTGCAGAGGGGTTGTGGAGTCATGGTGTTGGGCCAAGGGCAGAAGGCTGTGGGAGGTGGGACGGGGCAAGGTCTGCACCTCACTGAGCTGTGGCCCTTTCCTATTCCAGGCCCGGTGGAAGCAGTTCAGTTCATTTCAGAGGGAGAAGCCATCAGCCTCCAGCTGCCACCCACGCAGCCGGAGCTGGAGCTGCCGTCGGCTGTGGCGGTCAGCCCTGCCTCCAAAGGCCAGCTGGTGAGGAGCGTCCTGGAGAGCCAGCCCCTGGTCAGGAGCTCGGGCTGCAGCGACCGCCTGGCCACCGCCCTGGCCCCCTCCGACCTCAGGCCAGGCCAGCGGGGAGTGGCTGAGGCACTGGCCCCCCTCTCCTCCTGCGCCTCCGAGATGCAGCACAAGTGGCCCCATGCCCCGGTGGAGTGCACCGAGCTCGACCTGCAGAAGTTCTCCTCCCAGGTGGAGTTTGTGGGCAGCGAGAGGTCGGAGGAGGTGGGGAGCCAGGCAACACGAGGAGTCCCCAGGGAGGGGAGCAGTGCAGCGCTGGAGGCTGGGAGCAGCCTCGTGGTGGACCCAGCGAGGGGCCTGTCCCCCACCGTCCAAAACCCCACCGCTGAGAGCGGGGAGCAGCCGGTAAGTTCTTCCTCATCACCTCTCTGACACACCATCACGTGTCCTGGCCCTTGGGCACAGAAGGCTAGCGGGTTAGGGACGTGGGTTCCTAAGATTTAGGGTCATTAATGTCTAGGGTGACTGGCTAACTACCAAAAATGATTTGCCAGATGTTTCATGGCATGTTTGGGAGTAGGTGAGGATCGTTTTCCATAGGTCATGTCAGAGCTGTGGAGCAGCTGGTGAGCCAGCACAAGTCCAGTGTATCTCCCAGAGGAAAGGATTAGCATTCTAAGTGGATTGGCCATCACTGCAGGTGGCATAAGGTCACCAGCCCTCAGAGGGCCATCAGGCACAGACAGGACCTGTTGGGATGGTTTCAAATACTAAAAAGACTGGAGTCCATTTATTCAGTGTATAAACCCACCTTTAGCTATGCGTTAACCGATGTACTCTGTGGGTGTTTCTTAGACTCTTGCTCATCTAGAAAGCTGACCTGGCACCAGGAGGCAGTGATTCCTACTCCTGCCCAGGTTAGCTTATAATGAGACTAGTCATTAACATAATTGAGGTTCAGAAAATGCCTGGTAAAATTATATATATACATATTAACTTAGCTCCAGGTCACTGTTTATGGAAGCAGTTTGCTGGGGGGCCCTCAGAGGTTGTTAGCTCCTGGGATAGTAATGCTGGCATGACAAGTGCCATTGCTTTGAACCTTTGTGGTGGCCCTGGGAGGACTGACAGGCATCATTGTTGCTGTCAGACTGTCCCCAACCTTGGTGTCTTTCTCTTTCCAGGTGAATGATGCCCAGAGCCTTGTGACTCAGATCAGTAACACAATGAAGGGTAAGTGTCTTCCCAGCCTCATTTGTTCACCATGCATTGGGGTAGCAGAGATGCAGATTTTGATAAGGAGCTCCTCCAAAAGCCTACCTTGGCTGTGTGGAGGTGACACTCATTACAGGGATGTGGTGACTTTCACTGCCTTTGGTGCTAGTTTCCAGGTTAGATATCCTGCAGTACTGCTCAAAGTGGCTTGAGGGTGGGTGGTGAATGGACACCCAGTTATCGCCTGTTGGCAGTCTCCCCAGGACTGATCCAGTTCTGTGTTGCTGAGCTCTGAAAGCAATATTGGAGGAGATCCCTGCCATGACAAGTAGATGTTTCACCAGCTTGGCAGGGACGGGGGTTTGAATCTAGCTAGTGTTTATTCTCACCAAACCTGGATGTGGTTTCTAACCCCACTTTTCTGTATTGCTGCCCCCAGGTCTCCCTGTTTCAGAGCTGCCCCATTCCTTGGTGCAGTCGCTTGCCTTCTTGTTAGACCCGTCCTTGAATGGTGTGAAGAACTTCAGCCACGTGGCACTGGAGCTGGGGGTTGCACCCCAGTTTCTGGGACGGATATCTGGATTTGAGCAGCTCATCACTCACCTCACCTACTCAGGAGACTCGGTCACAATCCCTCATCTGGCCCAGGCTCTGCAGCGACTGCAGCGGTTCGACGCCTTGCTCCTGCTGTGTGACCACTTTGCTCTCAGCCAGATTCAGGGCCACCAGTGCTAGGATAAGATGGAAGGGATGGAGGAAACTTCAAGCATTGTGTGTACTGGTACGGGAGAGGATCTGGTAGCCCTGTGGTCACACAATCTCTCTAACATGCATGTGGGGAGTATGTGGAGAGAGTCTTTGCATTGTGGAATAGAAGCACACGAGGAGGAGTCTCCCTCCTTGGAGAAGAGTGGAGGAGCTGGGGAGGTGACAGTACTGTGTATCCTCACAGCTGTCACTCCTGCCCCTTCTGGGCAGGTTGTGCTCAGCACCTCTGAGTTCATTTTTCTTCATCTGTACTTAACCCATGTCCAGCAGCAGAGCGGTGTCACAATCACTGTGCTGCCTGTCTGTAATAAGCCCTGTCCTTTGCGAGTTGCTGGTGTTGGGATGAATTCTGTGAGGTCCCTGGCCACACGCTGTGCAGGGGCTTGGGCTTGGTTGTGTGCCACTCTCTTACAGGGCCAACAATCACTTCTCTCCCATTCCAGCTTTTCAGAACACTTTCCTTTGGCCAATACTGTGTTATTTTTTTCTGGGTTCCTGTTGCCACTTTGAGTTGAAATTTTGTTTGCTCCTCCCTGTGTGACCATTGCTGCTGTGGCAGGGAGAGCTGAGCAGTCAGTCTCTGTGCCAGTGCAGCACGTGGCATGTTTAAATTAATTTCCTTTACTTGAACTGGTGTAGTTTTCTTAAAGAAGTTCCAAGTTGATCACCAGGGTACTTTGATGTACAGTTGTGTTAGGTGCAGTGCTGTGCTGCTCCTTGCCCAGGGCAGTTTTTGCTCCCCGGTCTGCTGGTGACTGCCTCTACTCAGCTGTGCTGGCAACCTCCTCGGTGTGCATCAGGCATTGCAGGCTGATGCGGGGTGCCAGAGGCAGGGACCCTCCTCTGCCTTCTGCAGGGAACAGCTGGTGCCCTGCCAGTGCCAGGCATGTAGGGGTCAGCTGGAGACTGAAGACTGCAACTGTGCTGCAGTGAGTGTTGAAGTCCCTGTGGCAGAGCAGGTTTGCTTTAGAAGATTCTTTCTTTTTTTTTTTTTCTTTTCCTGCCTAAAAACAAGCTAATTTTCTCATTTTTGGGAGTAGGTCTTATGGAGGAAACACCCTTCTGCATTTAATTTGTTCCTGGAGGATTTGTCAGAGCTTGCAGCGCTTTCGCCTGCATGAGGCTCCCCTCAGTTTTGGTTGTGGAGCTGCAGGGCAGCTTGCTGGGTTGGTGGCTGCTGTGCTGTTGTTCTCCTCTGTCTGCCACCAGCTTCAGGGTCTCGCAGGGTCACAGGGGGTTTGGCCAGGCGGTCCGACAAGTGGGACTTGGGGGTCCATGGTGGAGTGGCTCATGAGGCTAGAGAAGACCTGCAGTGGGAAGCCGTGCCCTGCCTGCCGGCAGCAGTGTCTGTGCAAGCCTCCCGCTCCAGGATTTTTGTCGGGGGCGAATCCTTGCGCAGCAGGCGAGGCGCAGGGAGCGGCCCTGCGGGGGCGGACGGGAATGTGGGGCCGCCGTCAGCTGGGGAAGCTGCCCCGGCCGCCCGGCACGCGCCTGGCCCCGCTGTGCCGCCGCCTCCCGGGATGGGGATGCCTGTCCCACTGAGGTCATGGCGCGGAGCAGCTGAGCGGTCTTTGCCCTGTGCCTGGCTCCAGCCTCTCTGCAGCCGGGGCAGGAGGCCTGCTGCGAGCTGGTTGCTTGCCGAGGAAGGCAGGAGGTGTCAGCCCCCAGCTTTGTCCCTGCCACTTGCACCAGGACTACTAAAGCCTTTTACACCCTCCTCTGGAGCGATGAAATGGACCCACTGTGCTCACTCAACCAGGACAGTGCCTGATCCCACTGAAGATCAGAGTCAAAAATGCCTTTAGGTCAGCGGGAGCGGGTTTTTGCCTCTGCTGCCATGTGCCAGGGAGAACAAGCCTGTCTTGTTTCTTCCCCTCTTTCTATGCCGTTTTGTGCCCGCTTAGTTTCACTGCCCAACTTTTTCCGCCCTGTCCTTGGGGTCTGTTGGACATCTCATGCCATTTCCACCCTTCCCTGGTGCTGCTGGCCCCTCGCAGCCTCCACTCCCAGCCCCTGTACGCGGTGCGGCTCCTGCAGTGCTCAGTGCCCTGGGTGGCTGCGGGCTCCGAGTGCCCCAGGACCTGCAGGGGGTTTGAGCCACGGTGCTGGCTGTGTGTGTGTCCCTCCTGAAGGCTGCAGCTGATGGCTGGCTCTGAGCGCTGCTTCCCACGCTGTCCTTGCCCCTGGCAGCATGGTGGCCGCCAGCAAGCGGCACTGTTACCCTGCCCGCCGCCACCAGGGCATCCCCAGGCTTTGCCTTTTATCTGACCACAGTACTTGGAAAAAGCAAGCGACCTTCTGGGAACACAGCCCTTTGCTCAGATCTGCCCAAACAGCAGTATTAATAGCTGCTCTGTTTCCCCCCCTTCCCCCTTTCTCTTGTTAAATGCTGTTAAGACTTGAACACACTCAGGATGTGGTCAGATAACAGGAGGCATGGACAGCTTCAACTGGATGTGACACTTTATCTCTGTTTATTTCTTTCAGAGTCGTGGTCGTTTTATTGCTCTTTGCTTTGTGAGAACCAGAAGCGTTAGACCTTGTACCCGTATTTGGCTGGGGTGATGTACTTGATCTGTTATGAAGCAGTCAGAAAAAGTATTTCTAGTGTAAATGCAGCCTGGGGATAAGGTTTTTCCATTGAAGGCTTATCTGTGGCAGGGAGAGAGTGTGTTCACATTAATCATGTAACAAAATCAAATATTTAATCTCTTTATGGACACACAATGGGAATGAAGATTACTTATACATCTGTAGGTGAATTAAAAAAAAGCATCCATGCAGCTTAATAAATCAGGCATGGCTTTGAACTTGAAGCAGGTGTAGGTGAATTGTCCTGCATGTCCCTGCCCATCCAGTGGGGTGCAGGATGGCGGAGCAGGCTCCTTCCCAGCACAACGCTGTGGGATTGGGAGCAAACAATGGCTAGCAACAGCCTGGTAAACGAGAAATGGAGTGAATAAAAGGGTTTTCATCACTTGTGTGCTGCAGAACCTCACTGGGGGCCAGTGGTCTCTGTCCCTCCTGCGCTTGCTGGGTGTTCCTGTTGATGTAGGTGGGGTCTGCATTTGTTGTTTTTCTTTTTTGTTGTTGCTGTTCTATTAAGGAATCAACCCCATTCCCCTAACAATTTTTAAGGTAAACTTATATTTTAGCTGTTTGGTATCTGAGCAACATTGTTCACATTCAAAACCTACCTCGCCGTGGTGCTGGGGAGGCGGCACATGGGGCTGCTCTGCCAGCCCTGCCTGGTGCACTGGGAGCGCCGGGGCAGCCACCTCCACGGCAGGTCTGTGGGTAGCTGTGTTTTAATTGTTTTAACTGTTCTTGAGAAGACTCGAGCCTGCTCAGAGCCTTTTACACAGTCGCAGTGTGAGCTTCTGTGGATGGTGCTTCATGGGTGCTCAGTCCCACACTGTACTGTTGTGGAGAGGGCTTTTTAATGGCAATGGGCTCCTGTCCCAGGGCTGCTCCCACCTGTGCTGATGTCCGTAGCCAGCAGCTGCCATCCAGCTGTGCTGTCAGCAGTCTCAGAATCAGCTGTGTTTACATGGCCTTTAATTTAGCCAGCTCAAGGCCCTTTGGGCTGATTTTTCACAAGTCTAGCTGAAGTCCTCAGAAGAAGGGGGACCACAGGAGTCTGAACGACAGGCTCTGGCGCTGCACTTTGGACACTGGCAAACGGTGGCCATCACTGGGCAGGTGGGCGAGCTTCAGTTTCTTTAGCTGGGAACCAATAGACTTGGTACTTGACTTTTCTGCTTTTTCTTAATGGTATTTTCAGCACAATAGATGGAATGTAAGGGAAGGAAATTCTCATAGCGCTGGATCTCACATTTCAGCTTCAGGAAGCTACCAAAGCCAAGCTGGCATGGTTCAAAAAGAGTTGAAAGAAATAAATTAATCCAGTATCTATGCAAACTTTAGCTGTGATTGAACAATGGAAATACTCTTGGGTGGTGAGATTTTTTTTATTTTTTTTACAAGCAATTGTTTTGACACTAGTCCTGTCTGGAAGTCTGATTTACAGAAGAATTTGTGATGGGTTTCAGTCCAGCCCTGTTCTGAAAGCTTCTAAGCATACACTTAAAAATAGGCATATCTTTAAATCTTATTAAAATAAAGAAGTAATTTGTACATCCTTGGATGCTATTCTCAAACAGGGTGCTTATAAGAATTCACTACACTCTTACATGAGTGGACAATACTGAAGAAAATTTTTTACAATAGGGGCACGCTCTGAAAAATCTGCAAGTGGAGATGCCCTATGGGGAGGTGCCCTATGTGTTTTAGATTAACAATACAAATCCTGGTGCTTTTCTAAAACTAAATAAATAATTTTTTGTAGTCATAGTTTACTGCTGGGAATACATGATAATTTTTATGGTGGATGTTCTGTTTTCTTTAAGGTTATGAATAGGTTATTTATATTTTTGTAAATCCTGTGTCATTAGCATTGTAATTCTGAAGTTTATTTGTTTCCATTGTTTTTTTGGGGTGAAGTTTGTATTCAAATAAAAGTGTCTGAAACTCCTCTAAGTTTTGTTAAACAAGGGGTATCTGAGTTCCCCACATTCCACCCAGACATAGTGCTGTTGAATGCTGTGTGCTTGTAGTTAAATAAATTCCAGAGTTGGAGGTGATGATGCGCTGTGAGTTTTAATTCTGTCCTTCCTGCCCAGGGGTCCCAGTCTGTTGGGTGTGGAGGAGCCTGACCCAGTGCCCACACTGCTGAAACGCAGGCTGGGGGCAGAAGCAGAGTTGTGTGCTGATACCCTATTCATGTTCGGTGGCACACAGCAGCTGCTACTTGTTCTGCAGGCCTGGTTTCTCTCAGAAGTGCCAAATCCTGGGTGGGGTTTGTCTGTGGGCCCAGCTCCTGGGGAGGGGGAAGAGGCAGAGACGCTATAGAGACCCTATACATGCTACCCAAGGAGCCTCCTGTTTCTGTAGCTTCAATGAGGAACAGTTGTTCTTTCAGCTTGTAATTAGAGTCCTTATTAAGTCTGTTCATGCCCCTGAACTCAGTCTGCTCTTAGTATTCGTATTAGAGTGTAGGATATCATTTTTTGTTCCAGTTAAGGCTATTATACTTGCTCAAACCCTCTCACGCTTTGCAGGTTCTTGTACTAGTGTCGCTTGTTTGAGTTGTAAGGAACACCCATGTGCGTTGTAGCCACGTGCAGTCCAGTGAGCCTGTACCACTGAAGTAATACAATAGGTGTCAGTAAAGGAGCCTCTGAAATCAAGGCATGGGAAAGCACTCACTCTTCACTGGATGCAAAAGTACAGAATGAGTAAAGGCATTCAGCATGCGTGGCTTCCGAAGAAGCCTTTTGCTTGGAGCATCTTGGGTGTATGCTGCCTGTTATCACACATGCTTGAAATATTATTCTCCAAGTACACAGTGAAGTGCATTAGTGGCTGTACTGACTGCAGTCAGCCTTCCTGAAGGCCTGCAGGGAAAGTGATCCCAACACCTCTGCAGCTTGAAGCAGGAAGGCTGATCTGGAGGAGAGGCCTGGGGCCAACTCAGTGGGAGAGCGAGACTTTGGGTTTACATGCTTGTGGGATGGGATGGGAAATCAGAATACACCTTGCCTAATCTTCCAGTGACTGTTGGGTCTGGGGGGCTGTGGGCACCATGCAGCAGTAGGTCAGGTGGGGGTGGTTTTGGCCTTTTTCTCTGCTCTTCTGGAGAACAACCTGGGGTGACCACTCCCATGCAGAGGAGAGGCGTACACCCAGACCAGGAGTTCCTTCTGAACAAGAGCTTTACACCCCACTGTGCTTGCCTTGGGGCATTTGCACTGTCTGCTCTCTCACTTTTGGCCAATGTTTAAGGAGTGATGCGAAGCCACGTTCCCCTCTAAGTACTTGGCACTCTTGGTCTCAGCACTGTGATAATAGTCTACATCTGAGGATGAGAGCAGGCAGGAGGAAAATATTCCATGTAAGAAGCGTGGGGTTGAAAACCAGCCCCGAGGTGTTCAGAATAAGACAGTCTGGTGCCCCATCAGACATGACTTGCAGAGTCTGGCAGCACATCAAGATGCTGGGGTATACGGGGTCCTCACCTCAGCTGCCTCTGGGAGGAGCATCTCCAGCTGGGACGCAAAGCTGCTGTGAAGGCATTCAAAGCACATGGGCCAACTGCTTGACAAGCCTCCAGTTCCAGAGGAGGATGCCAGTGAATGCCCTTTGGCCCACGCAAGGCACGTGCACTGGGCAGTCTCCTGAGCTGGTCTCAAGCAGGAATGCAAAAGTGCATCCTGTGTTTGACAGCAGCCCCGGTGCACAGCTAGGGATCCTGCCAGGCTGAATGTTCCTTACCAAGGGGGTTTGCTTAAAAGAGCCTGGCTGAAAGACACGGGATGTTGAAACACATCACCTGCGTGAAGTAACTGCAGACATGGAGATCAGAGGCTCTCAATGTCCTTGTGTAGGCCTGGGAACCCTGAACGTGCTTTACCTGGGAACTACTGAGGTGGCCCTGCCAGTCCAGTGGGACTTTGCATCTCTCTCACAGGGAGATCGCATCTGAGGGCACATCCTTCTGCCCGGCGAGTGCTGAGCGGCACAGGAGAGCTGATGGGAGAGGTCAGGTCAGGCTGAAGGAGCTGTTACCATCAGCAGAATGCTTGTGCTGGGATCCTGCTTGGCAGCCTACAGCCACAACCAGCAGTGAGCCTGGTTGTTACTGTGTGAACCACTGCCCAACCTGTGAATGGTAACGGCAGGTGAGCTTTCTAAGGCTTTCTCTTGTGCACAGAGTCTGGATGCACCCAGTGAGTACTTTCATAATAAAAGCTTGCCCCTCAAACCTTGTGCTTGCTTGTCCACTTTTGGTCTGAGAAGATCCAGATTAAAAACAACATTACATGAAAATACAGATGGAAAACCCATGCTCAGATGGAGGAGAGGGCAGGAAAAGGGACCATAGGACCAGGCAGAAGAGTAATAACAGGCAGAAGAGCAATGTGCAGTTAGCTTGCTAGAGCTTATAAAATGTAGTAGAAGTGGACAAGGAGCAACCTGGGGCCTCCCAAAGCTGTTTGAGCACGCACAAATGAGAAGCAGCAAAACCACCCATGGTAAGCAGAACAGAGGCTTCGCAGGGGTTTAACATGGCACAGCTGTTCATTAGCACACAATGATGCCTGATTACATGCAATTATGTGGCAGTCACTAGCATCTTTCAGAAATGATCGGAGCATATTTCTCAAGACCCTCAAGTCTCGGCTATTAGCATCTCTGGTTCCTCCTTGTCCAGTGCCCTCCGTCACCACATGGGTGCCGGTTCTAGGCTCTAACCTCAGCAGCACCATCCTGCTCGGCCGACATTCAGGCAGTGAAAAGTGGTCCATCTGATTTTTATGCCTATTGAAGGCACCTTCAGCCAAGTCCTTAGCATCAACCTAGGCAGCATGGATAATTTGGCAGAATTAAGCGTGGCAGCTGGGCAGCCAACCACACCTGAGCTCAGATGCTCACCGTCCAGCAGACATTTCCTTCAGACGTCTGCACCAGGCTGGCTGTAGCCCTGAAGGTGGGCACACGCCGCCAGCTGCCTCTGTGCCAGCACCACCACCAGTCCCTGTGGCAGCCTCGTGCCCCATGAACCGTCGCTGCATTAGCAGTGAGCCGCTGCTTGGCACAGGGGGGCACAGGTGGGAGGCAGCAGCCAGCCCTGCTGCTTGTGCACTCCCCACCCGTGAGGGTGCGACGGTGAGGGGGGCGCGCATTCATACAGGGAAAAGTCGAGCAGAAAGACAGAAATTAAATTTCAGCTTGTGCTTTTAAATTTCAGGAAGGACAGGGCCTTGGCGATGTTCGTCATCTCTTCTTGTCTGCCGATACTCCTTGCATGTGAATCACTCATCCTGGTAGGAATTGGTCTCACTTAGCACAGTAATAAACCACTTCTCCTGCTGGGCTCATCTTTCACAGCTGTGCATGTCCGTGCTCTCCTTGACAAAGTAATTGTGGCACTGAACCTCTCAAATGTGCCCTGCACCATTTTCTCTGCGTTCCTGTCTCCTCTACAGGGGAGGTTAGAGAACAGTTAGTTAAATTTTGGTTGCTAAAAATGAAGACTTAAATCCATTAGAGAGAACTGAATTTCCAGGGCCCCGTTTCTTTCCTTTCTCTCCCGTCAGATGATTTTTTTATTGCTCATTCTCTGATTTTCCCATTTTATATTTTCCACAGTTTTCCCCCTGTGTGTGTGGTTCTCATTACTTCTCCGCGGGACATTAGGGCAATTATATGTGAATGAAAACACACATTTTATAGCATATTATTGGACTATTGACTGTGCTTGCCAGGAGACAGAAAATCATTTTTCTTCTGCCTCAGGTAAACTCACCTTGCAACCCCCTGGGCTGGCTCACAGGGACTCTCCAGACGCAGCTTTCCAAAGGCAGCCAAAAGGCTTCGTGAGTCACGTGTTTGGGGTGCAGCTTCTCCAAATGTTTTGTGCTGCCCGAGCCAGGAGCACAGCCCCAGTGCTGGCGCTTCATGGGGCAGGGGAAGCTCCGGGCAGGCCTGGGGCCAAACCTGGTCTGAAGCGGAGCCCCCCCAGCCTGAACCCCCCCAGCCCACGTCCCCTGGCTGCACAGCCAGGGCTGAGGAGTGTGCTCGCTGCTCAGAGCACTGCAGGACAGCCATGAGAGCAAAGCCTCCCCACTGGAACCAAGCTGGGAGCAACAGATTAAAAATGAGGGCACGCTGCCTTTTCTTGGCAGCAGAAGCTCATTTTTAGTGGAAAGCATCGCTGCTCCAATCAGAAAGCCCTGCTCATTAAAAATAAACACTGTTTTTCTTCAGGGACGGCCCGAAGCCAGTAATTATTACTCTTCATAAAAAATACACTATTATCCCAGTGAAATTCCTGTATTCCTTCTCCGAGTCTTGGTGGTAAATGAGTCTTTTTGAGACTGGCCAGCCTATTTCTGTGCAAGAGTTATTACCTTAACGGGAGCCAATAGACGGGATAATGGGCTGATTTTGGATCTGAACGCAGCTGCATTGGGGAGCACAGTTTTAGAAAATAAATAATGTGCTTTTGCAACCCATTCAGTACCTCTTCAAACTCCCCCTCACCTCATCCCCTGAGCTGCTTTTAAGAAATTACTGGATTACAAATAAATACCCCAATCAAACACAATAACAATAGGCCCAGCTTTCACAATTTCTTACCTCCTACAGTTAATTTGAAGCAAGCAGAAGCAGCGAGCACAACCGCATCTGAGAGCCCAGAGGCCACTTCCAGAGGCCACCCATGGCAAAAGCGACTCCAGCAGGGAGCAGGAGGGGGCTTCCCAGCAGGGCTGCTGTGGGCACCGCCGGGGCCCTGCCGCCAGCCCCCCACCCCAGCCCTGCCCAGGGGCTGCCCGGACAGAGCCCAGTCCTAGCACACGCACCGGGGAGCGGGTTTGGGAAGGAGGAGGTCAGCCCAGCATCAGCAGTGTACGTGTATATGCAGAAATGTAAACAAAATTATATAAAACATAGTGGAGGAATGGCTCGTATCCTCCAATTCATAGCAGGAGAGGGGGCAGAGAATGTTTTAGCAATGCTTAAAGCAAAAATTAGGAAAACACTGGAGGTCCTCCTACCTTCACCCTCAACCTCTCCTTCCTTCACAATGGCAGAGGAAACACAAAGGTGAAAGAAAATCACTGACAACTTAACTTCAGGAAAAAGAGGTAATTCACCTCCTGCCTGCCCCCGGCAGCTGTCATTCATTTTGCACAGGCAAAGAGTAGCCTGGGAGGACAGCAACAACTCCAGGCAGAGAGCTCAAGGCAGAGGGTGAGGCAGGCAGGGGTGGAGGGGAAGGAAGGCACCAGTGCTCCCCGAGGTTCCCACTGGGCAGGGTCCTCCTCTAGGAGCCTGCATGGACATTCACAAGACCCATGTTTTCTCCCATGCTGGAGTAATAGGGTTGTTCTCTCTTTTCCAGGCTTCTGACAGTTTATCACTGTTAAAGGAATTGCCTACACCTGGCTAGACCAACACCACCACCGCTGCTGCTTGAGCACCTGCTCTGTTCGTCTGAGCACGAGCTGCTGCTGGGCTGCAGGGGCTGGGGGCGGCAGCTCAGTGGAGCAGCAAAGGCTGATGCTGGCCCCTGGTAAACATATTGAAGGTGGGGAGACTGGTACCCAGTAGGGAAATGAGCTTTTTAAACAACAGCTTGGTAAAGCACATGATACCAGGCCTTAGCTTGGTGCCATTCTTATTTTGCTGTTTTTGAAATTGCTGTCCTGCTCTAGTTTTTCAGTTTGGAATCAAATAACAAATGGGAAGTGCTGGAATAAAATGTGCTAAGCAACCAGAAGCAACCTCACCAAGCAGGTTCAGGAGGTGTGGGGTTATCTTCCTTATTTTTCTTGCAATGGGAAAAGTGTTGGCAGCAGTTGTAGAACGATTTCAACAGTGATTTCAGCTGCAAGGGAAAAGGAAATGGCCCTGAACTTGCTGTGGGAGGACAAACCGTGCTGAGTGATGCTTGACTGAATCAAGCCTGAAGAGTGTCTGTTGCAGGCAAATTGCTTGGAGTGATGGACTAAGGCTACAGAAAATGAATCTTAAGCTATCAGTGCAGCTAACTCTACTGTGTTGGTGCAGGTAGTTTTAAATCCCACTAATGCAGATGTAAGGTTTGTTTACTTTGCTCAAGCAGCTCAGGCAGAGTAGGGGTGCTGCAAATAAGCCAGATTTCAGAGGGTACCTTTGTCCCCTGGCACCCAGTGGCAGCTTGCCTGCTCTGCAGTGCCTATGGCTGCTTTTTCTCAGCCCCATTAAAAATCTCACCTTCTCCCTAAAGGTGCTCTGGATGTGCTGGGGGGGTGTTTGATGGCAGGGGGTTCCCAAGTCCAGGCTGCCTGAGCAGCAGCCGGGCAGCAGCCAGCAGCTCTTCCCTTTGCTGCCACTTCAGCAGGTGCTTTGCTATGGGCAGCTTGTGCAGCTGAAAATCAGCCATTTCTCTGAACTTAAAGATGTGTTATCCAAATGAACCAATGCATAAAGGAGAGTTACAGCCCAGCATTTCATTTATCTTGAAGCTCTTATCAAGGGGAGGGAAACGCTGCCTTGGTTCAGGCTGCCCTTCCCATGGCAGGGGGTGTTTGCTCTCTGCGGGGTTTGTCAGGGGCTGCCCCCGAAACATGTACTGAGCTGTGCCACGAGGAGTTACAAGCACTCGTTTATTTCAAAATCCCTCTCCACCCCCATTCCCAAAAGCAAAACCGGGGAATATCTGGTGGGGAACATGCCCATCCCAGTGGAGCTGCTCTGCTCATGAGAGGGTTTGGTGGCAGAGGCCAGCAAGCAGGCTGGGGTGCGGTGCTGCCTCGCTCCCTTTTTACTACACATTCACTGCAATGGGCAGCGACCAGAGCTGGTTAATCAAACACATGTCCTGAACTAACAACGAAGATGTATTTCAGGCAGGCTGAGGAGCAGTGGATGTTTGCTGTGCCAGCAGCTCCACCCTGCCACGTGCCTCGAGTTCGCAGATAACCTGAAAACACCACGCACAGTCACAGCAGCAGGAGAAGGAAGAAAATCTCTTTTCAGGAGACCCCCAGGAGCTGTGAGCATCCTTTCTTGAGCTGCTTCCGTGGGAGGCTTCAGCTGTATTCTAGATGGTTATCTGGAGATTTGGGGAAGAAAATAAGAAAATAAATTGTTTCATAAGGAGAAAAAACTTTACCAAACTTCTTTCTTGCTTGCTTTGTACATTTCTTCCATCTGCAGTATACTTTATTTTGTTCAGTCTTCTTTGTCTTCCTCAGTGACTGGAAGAAGGAAAGAAGCACAAGCTGCCAGCTGCTGCCGGCCGCACTGCTGCTCTGCCAGAGCTCGGTGTCGCCGTGCCTGCAAAAGCACGAAGGAAAGCCATGACAGCTGGGGACAAGCCTCTCCAACACACTCCCCCCTGTTCCCCTTCAGAGCCAAGGCAAACAGGATTTGAGAGCAATGAAGGGAGAAAGAATCTAGGTTTAGGTCATTGGTCACTTAACTCCTGTTTGAAATTGCCCAAGACAAGATGTGGCAGCCAGCAATCATTTCTGTCTTGAGAAAAGGAACAAGATCTGCTGCTCAAATGCTTACCCACCATCATTTTTGCAATGTATCATAAATTATCCCCTTAACAACATCCAAAGTCTGGCAGCCTTGGAATTACACTGATTACCATACTAGAGCTGGCTACAAGTGAGGATTTGAACAAAGTCTTTATATACATTTATGTACATAAAGCGCCTATCACCACATTGAAAAACATTCTTTGGAACCACTCTGAGGGCAGGGGTAAGGACGGGAGTCAGCCTGTTAGTCTCTCAGCACTCCTGTTTCCAACCAATTAAAAAAAGAAGAAGAAGCCACAAGACTTTGCGGATCTGGCAGAAGCATCTGGTGCAGTTCTGCTAGAATGGCATGAAGCTGTCAACCATCATGTCTTGAAAATCACTGTAGCTTCCAGCTACACGTACCCAGCAGAGCTCCTTGCCAGAGTGGAAATCCTTTCTGCAAGAGATTGCCGAGGTTCGACAGCCTGCCAGGACATGATATGGATTAGCTACTTAAGTGCACCAGGAAAGCATGCAGGTAGGTCAGACAGACAAGACACTTGGTGAGGATATAAACTTATATACACTAAAGCAGCATTAATTTCAAGTCAATAAGCAAGAATTCCATTAAACGGGACACTCCCTATGATTGTCTCTTATGGTACTCCATAAAGCAATTGTTTTTGTCTCCAGCAGACAAATTAGATGGTCCATCATTCCGATTTTATAAAGCAATTTGTCTGTTCTTATCTGCCAAGGAGATTTTTATGAGGGCTGTCATAGAAACAAAAAAAAAAGGCCTCTCCAAGTGACAGACTATTGTGTTATAAAACCAAGCACTTGGGTTCTGTGGGATTCAGCCCGTTGATTATTTTTTGATTATTTATTATATTTTTCCCTGTCACCTCTGATAAGTGACAGCTGCTCTTCACTGGCGGCTCATTGCGGAGACCATCACACAGTTTAGCATTGCCAAACAAGGCATTATTGGCCACTCTTGACTCACAGGAGAAAAAAACTTTTTTGTATAGACCAAAGGTGTTACTTTAACCCCTATTACTGGGGGCAGAGGAGTAAATACAGTAAGGGGAGACAGGAGGTGAAGCAAGAAATGCTTTGGCTTTGATCTGGAGGGAGACATCCAGCAGCCCCTTCGGAAGGGCTTGCTGCAGTGCAGCACATCAGGCACAGCCTCCTGCATGCCTTCCTCTGGGCACGCTGACCCCGTGCCACCCCCTCCTCATGCAGCTCGGTGCTTCAGGCAGACCCGCACCGGGGTTTCGGCAGCATCCGGGGATCTGCTCCTGCACGGCTGCTTGTCCTGACAGCTCTGCCAGGGACTGCAGTTCTGTTCCTGCGCAGACACCCAAAACGTGGTATGGCCAACAGCAAAATTGCCGCTGGCGTACCTGCAGAAGCTGCTCAGGACAAGCGACGTGGAGCGGCTGTTATTGGAAAGGCGTGTGTGCTTGGAGATCAAACTCAGGATGTAGGAACATCCCCGGAATTTGGGTAGGGACTACTGCTGAGCAGCGGTGGGACAGGACAGCTTTGTGAAAAGCCTTGAATCTTGAAGATGAGAGCTGACTCTATGCTGGGCATTAGAACCCTGTCCTTATCCCTTCAGTACTCTTGCTTGGGCTTCATCCAAAATCTGGGGAGATCAGAGGAATTTTTCTCCCCACCACAATGTAGGAGGTGATAGCTTGAGGGAAATGGGCGTTTGCTTTTCGGTTGGTGAGAGGGTAGAGCAATCTTCCCTGACTTGCGGGAGAAACTCTTCTCTGCTGGCCACGGCAGCGGCTGTCTGTTCGTTAATTTCCAGCTGCTAATTCTAGGTGTGCACTTTGCATCCAAACTTCCTGTGTGACGTTTGGGGGTTTTTCTCCCTCTTCTCCCTCTGGGTATCAGCATGAACAAATCTGCTAATTTTTACAGCAGTGCAAGAGGATGGTCTCTGGTGCTGGCCCAGCTGCATTCCCACTTCTCAGGGCTTGATCTGGATCGGACAGAACATTTCCATTTATTCCTTTGAACAGACTTTCTGTACTGTTTTCAACTTGAAGAGCTAACTGCTAATAATTCTATTCTGCTTCTCCTTCCTGAGCTAATTTTCTGACTCATTGTGCATTTTTTTCTGCTTTGCTTTTCCTCATCTAGTTGGCATTTTGTGGTTTCTTTGTTCATTATGTGGTGGGGCTATATAAGGGGATTTGTCTCTGGAATTCAGGTATCCTCTGCACTGTGTTCTCTGTTATCGCCTTCATCAGCAACTCTGCTGAAGGCAGTTGGATACATTTGGCATGAGCTAACATGAGTAAATCTGGGTTGTTAATCACTCAGACATTTCCCTGTTGAATCTTTGCATACTGATTTGCGTGTGCTCGGGTAGTTCCTGCAGAGCAGGCTCCTGTAAGTCGCCGTCTTGGGACTGTGTCCTCCAGGCTCGCCCTCGGGATCTTGCCTCCCGCAGTGATAAATCTGAGTCACCTGCGAGCTGCCAAGGGCCACAGCCAGAGCGGCAGAGGCCGGTTCAGCCTGGCCAGGGACAGGACAAGGGCTTGCGCGGCGGTCAGGCTGCCTGGGACTGCTCTGCCCACCCCACCACCCCAGCGCTGAGGGTGTTCAGGGCCAGAAGGGCCGTGGGGAACTGATGGCACAAGGCACACCTGCCTTGCCCACCCAGCCACAGCCAGCCCCCGGCAGCCTGCTGGGGCGGGGGGGGACGGGAGCACCTGGTGTGAAAGGCTGGCCACAGCCATGGTGCAGGACATGCAGCACCGTTCAGGAAGCCATTCCCACGGGTGAGCGTGTGTCTGAAGACAAAGTGTTGAGCACTTCAGCATCTATTTACCTGTTAAGTAGGCTCGACCCTGACACATTTTAGCAAAAGCAGATTTCTTAAGTATTTTCTTCCAGACATTGGCCAGGTAAGCCTTCTAATGGTAGGAGCAAGCCTTGTCCCTGCATATCAGCAGAGGTGCACCCTCTTGCCCCTCAGTCACTGTACCTTCCCACGTCAAACAACATAGCTCAGCTTTCCTCCTTTTTTTTTTTTTTTTCTTTTTCCAAGTCATGCATCCTAACCTTTCCTTGCAAGCTGATTAGCCAGTGCATCCGTCCTCAAGTGATATAAGAGCCCCTAGGTAATGAGTAAAGCGTGTGAGGTTTTGAATCTCATTCAGGCATTGATAATTGTCAGTCCAGATAGCAAAGTCATTACAAAGATGCAATACAGACAGCTCTTACATCATGCCCATTTAGGGGAGAAAAATCTCAGCAATAAAGACATGCTACAGTTTACAGATCTAAGGAAAAAAGCTGAGTTACTTTTCATAGCAAGAGACAGCTAAATGCATGGCAGGGGACTGGCAGGAAACCAAGGCATGAACAGGGACCTGCTTTGGACTGAGGTCTTTGATTCCTCCAGAAAAAGATCATGAAGCCATTTAAAGATAGAAAGCAAAAAAAAAAAAAAAAAAAAAAGTGGAAAAAAAAAAAAAAAAAAAACACTAATAAATCTGGACTTGAGACGAGCTTAAGAGATTTCTGAGAGGCTTCCAATACTCCCATAACCAACAGAAGTGACAGGTGCTCCCAGACCATTTCTTGTACCAAGGGGATGCCAGGAGGTATGACCCCAGGGCTGGCTCGCTGCTCCCCAGAAGTGTGGCTCTTTCTAGGGAAATAGGCAGCCAGTCTGTGCCAGCACTCTTGGACAAACATCACAAGAAAATACAGAATTACAGTGAGAGCCATGTTTCTCATGGAATATATCATGTTAATATTGTTGCTATGGTTATTTCATAGAAGCCTGTAAGTAAAGCGTACAATTGAAATTGTAGAAAGATGGATCTCTTCGAAACCATGTGTTTAGTGTGCACACATAAAGGGGACTATGAAAAGACATACTGAGCACAACTTGTGGAGAGCACAATGAACACATTTTGAGGCTTGCTTTAAGGGTTCTCAACTTTAGAGCAGTGCATTTTGTGGGACTGTTTCAGCCTCTCTTGATCTCCAGTCTTGGTGCAATTTATTACAGGGGTGACATGATAGGGAGGGGATAGCTCTGGCTAGGTCAGAAGCAGATCCTGTTCCCAATGCCCAACACTGCTTTCAAATCACATAACAAATCTGGTTTCTGCCCGCCTCTTTGTCTCTTGTCCTTGTCTTTTCTTTTTTTTTTTTTTCTTCCTCTCTCTTTCCTTTCCTTTGTTCCGTCTTCTTTTCTTCATCTACCTCCCAAGCACATCTAAATTAAACTGTATTCTTCCCAGGATTGTAAACAAAACTTTCCCTCTTACTCTGAGTCAATTCAGCTGTCTAAATGAATTTCTCTTACAATTAGCAATTATGTAGAATAATTTAATTCTTCAGTTAGTGAATGCTACAGCCCTGATGCAATATTTTGTGGCCTTTAGTTCCTGTGTAGGTTTATTTGATGAATTAATGGGTTTATAATAGAAATTAGAAAGAATTCTCACTGGACTATATGAAATTGTGTCTAGTTATGAAGCACAGCTCCGGTCTAAGCTGCAGTGTGGGGACGATCCCTTCCTGTTTACTGACTCTGCTCCCCGGGTGCCGCTGAGGGTGGAGGTCTGGGTGCTCGGAGCTCTGTGTGCTGGGCACAGCACGTCGCTCCATCCACTTGTTCCTCTGTAAATCTAGGGGTCCCACAGCCTGTGCTGTTACAGTGATGGGAGTCCCCGGCAAAGCAACCACCCCATCCATGTTCTCCCATGTCCCCTGCATGCTTGCCTGCTCCTTGGACCAGTTTCAACTGGGGGCTTAGAGGGAGGGTGTTTGAAAGGCTGTGTTTCCAGTGTGGGTACTACTGTGATACCAGTAAATAATATGTGAAAAGCAGTGATAATCAACCAGAGCAGCAACACGGATTCCTGAGAAGAAGCAGGGAGATGCCCTTTGATGTCCACCAACCAACTCACCTCTGCCCTTTGGCTCACAGATCGGTGTTGGCTGTCTGGACGTTGACAGTGGAGCAAATGGTCTGGGAGGAAGGTCCCTTCCTGCACCTGGCCTGCTCCATCCATGCCTCTCGGCAGGACGTGATCACAGGCGGCAGCACGTTGTCCCGAGGCTGGGGCACCTTCTGGCACATGCAGAGCAGGGACTTGAGCTCCGAGCGGAAGCTCTCGTTCAGCCAGCAGTAGATGAAAGGATTGTAGCAGGTGCTGCTCATGGCAAACCAGTGCAGAGCAAAATAGAGGGAGTTCTTCGTCTTGATGCCTAGGCTGGAGATGAGCACCACGTAGCAGTTGAGAGGGAACCAGCAGACGGCAAAGACCACCACCACCAGCATCAGCATCTTGATGCTCTTCTTCTTGTTCTTGTGGTGGGTGATATACTGCTGCGTGGTGATGTCTCCGATGGCATTGCGGAGCCACAGCTTCTTAGCCAGGCGTGTGTAGGTGACGGTGATGATGAGCAGGGGCAGGAGGTAGAGGAGGAGAAAGGTAGACAGGTCCAGATACTTCCAGACCAGTTCTGCAGGCTCAGGAAAATCAGGGACGCACAAGCTCCGGACAGTGGCTTCCCTTGAAAACAAAGAAATACGTATATAGCGTGTGGACATTGCTTCGTAAATGGATGCTGCTAATTTGGCAAACCATAGAGGGGCTTTCACACCACCCACAACCACTTCCTCTGGCTTGTAATGCTGACAGAGGAGGGCCAGATATTGCTAATCGCAACCAAACAAAGCTAATTCAAAATTGCTTATTTTCAGTTTCCCAGAAAGCCTTCTCTCATGATGTTCTCCACATCTTTCTCACTGACGCTGACTGGCTACTGTGTATTTGTATCACCTTTCTTCCTCAATTGTTGTGTTGTCTGATACAAGAAAGTTTTATAATGACAATGTGGAGTTTCTTCTTTGAAGCTGCAGTGGATTTTAATTGGATGAGTCCCCTTACCATGGCAAGAAGCTGCTCCTGAAGGCCCCTTTTTACAAAATGGGCTCCTGTGGAAGAAGCACTGAACTGATCAGATCTGCGCATGCCTGGGCACAGACACAGCAGTGTCACCTTTCTCTTCCTGAAAATCCCAATGCAGGAGGAGAGGGGATAGTGGGCGAGCACCACTGAACTCCCTGCTCTTCTCCCAGCTTGTACGTGATTCCTACAGACCCAGGTGAAGCACACATGATGCCCAGGTCTCCCTAAATGTGTCCACCCAGAAATCCAGCCCAGGATGCATTACTCCTACTGTGGATGGCCTGTTCAAGCAGTTGTCTGGCCACGCACAACTGACCCGATACTACCGGGACGCAGCAGAGTTTCAGGACATGCTTGGGTCATCGCTGCAGCCTGCTTGCCCTAGCTCCCACTTGTCATTGCCACGCTGGACCTGCAGCCAGGTCCAGGGCACCCTGAGGGCCCCACTACCCCACTGAGCCGCCCTCCTGTCCGGGGCTCCCCTGCAGGGGCTGGAGGCCGAGAGCTGCACCAGGGAGCGCTCAGGTGCCCCCTGCAGAGCCACCTGCACCCCCGACAGCACGGCTTCGTGTCCTGCCCATCATGTTTCCTCCAGCGACCTTACCACTGCCTCCTAAAACAGGCACAGCTATTGGAAAAACGGATTGCTTAACGCTGGTTTAACTTGAACACCAGTTTAACTTCTGGTGGCAAACTAACAAAAATAAATAAATAAATAAAAACAATAGCTGAAAAATAAATAAATTTTAAAAAAATAGTTTAACTATATCTGATAGCTTAATTCAACAGAAATTAACTAACCTGCCAAATTCAGCACAACAGACATGCTCTGTTAGCATTTCTCTCGCTGCTTTGCTGCTCTCAGCACACGCACCTCAACAGCCCCTGCAGAGAACCAAGTGTTCCTCCACATGGCACAGCAGATGCCTGGAAACAATAACACCTTAAGAGGAAGGGGCACTCAGAAATTTATTTCCTGTGGATGTTCTCTCCTTTTCTTTCCTTTTTTTTCCCCTGCTTTTTTTCTTTTACTCCATTTTGCCCTTTTCTCTTCAAACCTTGTCCTCTGTTCACTTGTTAGCCTCCATCAAGCCACATTATTTGCTGCAGTATTGATTAATATCTTTAATATCCTGTTTTCAACCCTCGGAGTTGGCTTTTGTGCCACAAATAGAAGATGGCTTGGAAAAGGACTTCAGTGAGTGGAGCTGCGCCTGTGAAGAGGTAGCACGAAGGGCAGGGAGCAGAGCTCAGAGCGGAGCCACAGCGGGCTCCGAGGATGCTCATGGGAGAGGAGAGCAGCCGCGCTTCCTCCTGGGGGGCACGGGGAGGCCAGGCCGTGCCCTGGGGCTGCCAGCTGGCCTGCGGATGGTGCAGGCGTGAGAAGCAGCTCCTGCCTGCTCAGGGACGGCGGCTGGCAGAGAGCGAGGCCAGAGAGACCGCTGGGTGTTGGTGGAGCCCGGGGTCACCACGGATTTGGCCGCGCCACCGCACGCCGCAGCCAGCGGGATCCAGCGCTGCTGGAGCCCATCCCTGTTCCCATGGGAGGAACAGCTCCCCGCTCGGATGTCTCAGGGGCTCCTGCCCCACAGGACCTATTATGGGCGATATTACAACTGGGATTTTTATTCAATGGAAAACAGCGATGAGAATAACGTGTCCTGGAAGTCCTTATATCGCCGAGCTGCCTCATGCCAGCTCGAGGCTAGGTTTCCTTTGGGCACACTAAAGGATGAGCAGAGACAGGTGCAGTGAAAGAGATAGCGGCATTTGTTCATTCATAAGCAATTCGTTCAGTAATAGCCTGAGCGCAGCTGCGAAGCAATGCAAGCACTGGAGTAACCCGGCACTTTGTTTACAAAGTCTAAGCGGTTGAAGATCTTATATCCCCCGTAAGGCATCTCTCAGCAAATAAATTATAAGCACAAGCAAGGAAGAGCTGTGAAAGCCCTGATCACTCTCCTATTTTGTGTATCCTCCTGTACGCAAACAGCTATAAAAAGCCTGTGCGAATAGTTGAATGCTCTCCCTGTCACACTGATAGGAGAGAAGTGGCCATGCTGTAGGGAGAAAGACGTTTGTCCTTTATACAGAAGCTCGATATCTACAACAAAAATCTTTCTCTTGCTGTCTTCTTACTCTGCTCCCTGGTACTCAGCTCTCAGGCTGAAAATTCCAGTCCCTTGGCCTGGAGCCCGGCATTCCTGCAAAACGCAGGCAGCAGCAATACGAAGCGGCACCACGAAAACCACACACCACGTGGCATTATGGCCTACTCTGTGGCCAGGAGGTTGCAGTGACACCACAGGCGTGCTGTGGGTTGTGGGTTCTCCTGACCTATGTTGTGCACCCAGGGCAAAGCTTCGCATGGGTCTGTCGGCATTCCTGCCACGTGCCGCTCTTGAGGCTTGTGAGGACAAGAGGACCGCAGTAGATCGGACAATGTGGAGGAAAAACAGATGGCAAGGGCAAACCCAAACAAGACTTCTGATTCTTTGTTTCTCCCTAGTAGAAAGGGTGACTTCCTAACAATGAAAGCCCTCACTAGACTAACAGGTAGATGAGAAGATAAGCATATTTTTTATTTTTATTTTTTTTCTCCAGAGCAGAACCTTCACTTTCTTCTGATACTTCAGAAGTCTTCACGTGGGTGTGAAATTCCACTTTACCTTCTTTTAATAGTTTTTGTTGTGTTCTGCCAAGCAAAGAGCCCTCTTCATTGCTAGGGAAGACAAAGAAGCATACTAGAAACAGTTTTTCAGGTGGTTTTCTGTACAGTCTTGCTAAAGCAAGTACCAGGTGTTTACATGTTAAGTTTTATTTTCTTTCTTTTTCAAACTGCTGCACCTGCTCTCCACTTCCTCCTTGTCTGGGTACTGGGCAAGTTGGACAGACGTGGTCTTCTTGGGACTAAATAGCTGAGTGAGTGTGAGGAGGGAAGAGGAAAGGCCCTTGGGAGAAACTGGGGACAAAGCCCACCCTGAAGGTGCAATGAAACTCAAGAAGGCCCCGAGCAGGTGGGCACCACCTGCCCACCTGCGCCTTACAGCCTACCACCAGCACGAGGCTGCACAGGTGAGACTGACCCACTCGTCCTGATTTTGGGGAGATGAAGACAAACTGAGGTCCTGAGCGCATATGTGCACTGAAGTGAGCCACGAGGCTCTTCACAGCAGCCACCTCTGCCATAGGAAATTAGATTTTATTCAGACACAAATTCCCACTGATTCCACCAACTTCTTGCCTGCCCCCCCAAACCTGGGAGCCCCTCCAGGAGCTCTGCCTGCTAAGAGCCACCACCACTGCAGCTGAAGGCTGCAAGACTTCTTGCTTGGAAGGGGTCAGATGTGCCAGGGAGGAACTCACCTGTAGTTATACTGGAAAAGCTTTTGATAGATGGCATGTGGCAGGGAGAAACAGGTTGCCATCAGCCAGATAACAGAAATGCTCAGCGCTCCTTTTGTTAGTGACATCCTTTGCTTTAGTGGGTTCAGAATGACCTGTAATAAAGACTTCACAGTGACTCTTATCTCATGGGAAAGCAAAGCCTCCACCAGTACACACAGCAGAGGTATTTTTCACATGATCTAATGCTATTAAGAAAATAACATCCATGATTAGGAAAATGTCCTGCTTATTAGAGTGACCTAGAAAATGGCAACCCTTCAACTTTTCAGAAGTGCTTTCAAATAAACTTTTTCTCTATTTTCTTCTGTGAGACTAATTTTCTTTAAATTGTAGGTTACTTTAAAAAAAATCTACACAAGTCTCTTCAATAATGAGTACATTCATTTATTCTATATAAATTACATTACAAAATGTCCTCTGTACTAGCTAAACCTATCAAGCTGAGCCCTTCTCCCATGTTTTGAGGGATTAACTCACCTTTTACGAAATTTCCTGAGTTAGATTAAAAGATAACAAGCTTATAAAAGCTCAAAGTCTGAAGAACATCATTTTGGCTGATAGGTGTATACAGGAAAGGAGAGTGACTGCTAGAAATAAGCACTGCCCTGGTCTACCTCCTCTTTTGTCTACTTGCAGTACATCGAGTATTTATTACAGTAAGTAAGCAACTGATGCAGCTTGGCTGTAGGCAGATGGCAGGTAGTCTTCTCACAGCTCCGTGTCCTCCCAGTGTTGCCAACAGAAGTTTCTCACTCTGCCACTCCCCTTTATGGTCCAGCATCAGTCCCACAGTTACACTTTAATCCTCTGCTTTAGAACTTTAACATCAGGATTGCTTTTTACTCACTGCTACAGTGAGACGAGAATTGCTACCAACTCAATCTGCCCTGCATCTGGATGATGCAGCAAATGCCCAGTGGAAAAAGAAGAACAAAAGAACAAACAGGTGATGAGGTCAGAATTTAAGCTCAGAATGACACAGACCAGTGTTTTACGGCTTTAGGGATAGAAAGCTGAAAATATTTGAAAAAATTCCCTGTATAGCTGAACAAATGTGTTTCATTCAGCAGCAGCTCTGCTGTCTTTCAAGGCTCCCGTTTAAAATAAAGCCTGAACCACCGGCTCAGCCAAGGCTGGCAGGGGCTTGGGAGGAGCCTTGCAAGGGAAGTGCAGACAAGCAGTGCCTCACCTGGTGCCTGTCCAGGGCGATGGCTGTTAGAGTCAGCGTGGAAACGTGGAGCGAGCAATACTGCACGAAGCGGCTGATGTGGCACATGGCCTTCCCAAAGATCCACGTGCTGTTCACAAACCGAACCTGAGGGGAAAACAAGCCATCAGTAAGGAAATCCGTAGGGAAAGCCCCTGGACAGCACCCGAGCCAGCTCATGCTTTTTGGTTGGCTGTCTGGGCAGCCTCACCTGAAACCCAGCTAGCTATGTTGGATTTCAAAACACTTTACAGAAGAGTTTATAAGGTTAAAAAACATAGTTGAAATGAGTGGTCCTGTTGCAGCCCTCCTGGCTTAATCACATAAACATCATTTGTAATGGTAATAACTTTTTGATTATACTGACAATTTTATTTGGAAAAAGCGGACCATGGTTTGCTCACACAACCACTCCCTGCAGGTCTGGAGAACTTTCACTGAAGACTTAACCCATCTGGTAGATCTGAAGAACTTGCCTTCTTTCTTCCAGTTACCTAAGTACAACCAGCATTCAAGTTGTTTTGACCCACTAAGTCTTAAGTTTGACCTTGTAATCTCCCAGCATGTATGTTAGTATCACGTACATATCCAGACACCTATTCTCCATTCCCCAAGCTCTTCTGATTTGTCAGTTCAGCAGCATACCTGGAGAGACTTCGGAGTCTTTTAGGAAATAGAGTCTAGAAGAGCAAGGGAAGCACACAGTTTCCTGACCAGAGTTTTACTTGCCTGGCAGAGTTGTCTATCAGACTTATTTCTGTTGGGTTCATGCCTCAGTCCTAGAACAGCACGCGCAGAGAGCCTTCGACCACCAGGCAGAGCCTTTCCACGAGATGTCCCTCCTGGCTGAAAGGACAGCACAGCATGCCACTTACCAAGGTAAAAGGCGTGTTGAGCAGCGTGATCATAATGTCAGAGACCGCGAGGTTGACAATGAAAAGGCTGGTGGCTGAGTGCATCCTCTTGTTCTTCAGCACCACGTGGCACACCAGCATGTTCCCAAAGAGCGACATGATGATAATCACCGAGTAGGCCACGATGAGGAGAGCCTTCACTGTTGGCTTCTGGGACTCTGGCTCATATTTAGCCAGCTCCGCAAATTTCTCCCACTCCACAATGCGGCTGTCTGTCCAATTGAAGGTGGTCCTGTTAGTTGCTTGGTATACTGACATGAGTTTGACCAAGGAAGAGTAATGGTCAAACTCCTCAAGAAAACCTCTCATCTGTGGCCTGTACGACCACAGCAGGGAGTGAAGCATGGCGGGTTAGCCAGGCTCTGATCACTCAGGGCAGCTGGGACCACAGCTCTAGCTGGCATAGCAAGTGATCCGTCAGCTTCAACTGCTCGGTTCTCTAGGAAGCTGATGAAGATGCAGTTGGCATTATGAACAATATCTTTAAGTGCAAAGCCAAAGGGAGCCTCTAAGGTGTGATGGGTTCCTCAGGGGCAGAGGCAGCACTGGGGAGCATTTTCAACAGGCACACTGGAAAGGGGCTGGTTTGGCACTGCACACCCTCAACCCCTTCATATATCAAGAACAGTAATAGCTCCACAGGTTGGCTGGAAAGAATAATTAGTTATTACATGAAGTAAATGTAGGAAAACCTCAGATGGAGCTTGAAATTGCTTTAATTCCATGTCAGCTTGTTCTAATTTGTTCTCAGCTGAGCCCACTTTTCCTCCAACTTTCAGAGAAGGCTGCTCAGTTGGTGCTTTCATCCTCTACTTCAAAACACCTGGTTCTTCCCTGTTGAAACATAAAGACAGAGCCATTTGGGATACCACTTTTAAAAGCACAAGAAGCTTTTGTCTGCATCTAACCCCAGCAATTATCCCAAAGTGGTTCAGAATGTGGAAATCACATCAGAAGTCAACTTTGGTCTATTTCATATTTTCTCTTCTAAACAACAGCCGAATTCTGCTTACAGGCATTTCATTTTCAGTGAGAAAATAGTCTCTCCTGCAAAAGGTGAGACTTAGCAATAAAAGTGGCATGCAAGTTCCAGACTACACACTTATACCATATACAAACCAGTACATAATGCTACATGCACCAGAACAATTCACTAGACAAAAAAATCTCTGCTTACTCACCTTTAGGCCTCCTTTTATTGTTTTTACATATTTCTGATTATTTTAGATTGCATTGATCTGTTGGTGTTGGGTGGAACTTATGAACCACGCACACCAGTATTTCTGGATATGCTGCATACAGGAGGAGAAAGTTGTTTAGAAACTCTTCCAGGTTCTCAGAGAGGAGAGACGGTTTGTTTTGTACATGCAATTCCCGTCAAGCTCCATGACTGTGTGCACAAATCAATGGACCTCATATGGAGTGCAGGATTAATAATCAGTGCTTTCAGATCTCTAAAAGCTCCCTGAAATACCTCCTCACACAGCAAACTGTCAGGCTGCTGAGGGCAGTGACCTCACTGCATAGCAGGTGGTGGACCTGAAGCAGGCTTTCAGCAGATCCCAGGCTCTAACACACCACCTGCTCCTGCCTCTGGACCTCAGCTGCAAATATCACTGAGCAAGAATCAGGGATCAACGGATTTCTTACAGAAGTAAGCAGCATATGTGTGTTCAGTACCCATACATTCCCATAATAACATCTCCTTTGCTTGTCTGCTTACATTGGTGAGTGTTGGGAATACAGAGGACCTACGAGAGGATGGCCCTCAAAAGCAGTGGATGTGAAACAACTTGGGGAGGGAGGAAGGTGCAATTATGCAGGAGACAAAGAGAAGAAGAAATTTTGAGTACAGGCAGTGGTAGTTTCCTGGGCAAATTTATGCATGAAATAACCCTGAAAGGACAGGAAGCATGACAAATGCTCATGGACTCTGCTAGAGCAAAGCAGCTCTAGTGCAACAGGCAGAAAATCCCGGTCTCTATACCTGACCTCATTATTCCCTGTTTCAGTATCTGCCCAGCCCTAGAGCAGGTCCTAATCTGACTTTCTCACAAGACATGGTGCTGGGGTGCTGCTATGAAACTGAAATGAGAGCTGCAACTGAGGAAAGGGGTCGTTCATCCTGTTTGAAGAAAACGGCTGGCACAGGGCACTCATTGCAGCGACACATCTCCGAGACCAGGAGCTTGGCACAACCCAGAAAGGACTTGATGCTCACACCAGAAATGAGAGCATCCAGAATTACATTCACCTGGACTTCTGCAAGGGGAGAGCAGACAGTCTCTCTGCTCCACTTGGGGCGTTAAAAGACCTGTGAGGTTTATCATGTCTGGGAAAGGTGCACGCGGTTCTCCACGCCTCTTTAATGTCTGCTGTGGTATACACCAAGGCGATCATTCTTCACTCTTCAATGAAAGGAAGCCACAGTGATCTGTAAAGGTAGCGCAGTGTACGTGTAACAAAGACAGTCAGTTTTAGTCAGCTCTAGCAGAACCACTTTCATCTTTGAACAAGCACATCTGGGATATTCATGCTGCACTGAAATGCCATCACTGAGCCTGAGAGATGATGCTGTGGTATGACAGACGAAAACACCCACTGCCTTCCCTGCATCTCATGTGTACAATTGTCTTTGCTACCCTGAGAGAGAGGCTTGTAATGGAATCTGAGTTTCGAGAAACTACTACAATGCATGGGTCAAAACAGATCAAGAAACGTCTCAGGACTGATTATTTAATTTAAAAAACGTGCAGACAGGTTTTCTGAAGTGCCCATGTGACTGAGAAGCCTGTTTCTCATGGACTACCTGCAGGACCTGCACTCTAGATAGTTCACAGTGATCAGGGTGCCACAGCCTTAAATGTGGGTAATGAAGGAGGACTTGGTTACTGCTTTTCTTTTGTGCCTATGTCTAGGTACCTGTACAATCAAATCAAGAAGCTGTTCCAGCTGAAAATTAAATAATCAGCTTTCCCAGATGGATCAGCCTTCTGACCTGGCCCACTCCATGGCTGAACCTTATTTCTTCCAAGGAAGGCTCTAGGAACAAATGGACAAGGGGAATGGAAGAGCTTAGAAAGATGACGGAGCTACAACTTGATTTTCTGACGTGGAATTTCTCTTCAGATCTTTCTGTACCCACTAAAATGTTATCTGAGGTGCTTGTTGAAGCTGTCAGCACTGGCTGTTGCTTTAGACCACAGGTGCAGCAGAGATGGCCACGCTGTCTTCCTGAGACAGTGTTTAAATGCAGATTACCCTGATGAGCTGGAACACTATGGCTGCATGCAATACGAGAGTTCAGCTTTCAACTGAAAAATTATACAATTATATAATTTAATATAGTCTGAATGACCAGAGAGGAAGGTCACACCTTGGTTCAACTTTTCCCGGCTCTTCTACGATCTGGTTGCAAGAGGCTGGCTGAATACACCTCCCTGCTTTAGCAGTAATTTCTTCCTGATGCTTTCATTCCAAAGAATTTAAGTACATCTTTCCGACCACAGTCTGACAAATTACTTGCATTCTCAACATAAATCAACGCTTCACTTTCTGCACCGGATAAATCTTTAAAGAAGAGCACGCGCGTTGCAAGCACAAGTTATTCACAGTTCCCCAACAAAACCCAAACAACAGGAGGAAAAAAAGCTGATACCTGCCGCCACTTACATCCCCTCGTGCCATCCTCCCATCGCATCCTTTCCTCGGGAAGCCCCCGGGGCTCGGCAGGCACCCCCAGGGTCCTGGCGCGGGGCGGGCCGGCCCGGGGGCTGCGCTCCACCCCCGAGCAGCCGCGGAGGGCCGGAGGTGAAGCGGGGCCGGCTGCGAGCTGCGGCGCTGATGCGGGGGGCGCTGCCGAAGCCCCGAGCCCCCGCCCCGGCAGCAGGCGGGGGGCGGCGCTCCCCCACCGCGGGCAGCCGCCGCCACGGCCCGGCCCCTCCCGGCCCCTCCGGGCCGCAGCCCAGGGGCGCAGGGGGCAGCCGGGGGGTGCCCGGGCTGGATCGGGCTCGGAGCTGCCCCCCCGGAGCGGCCCGAGGGCAGCCCCCTCGGCCACGGCCATTCCCTGAGCGGGCGCTCCCCGCCGCCGGCTCCCGCAGCGTTTCCCGATTTTTTGCTCTGCCGGCAGCCCGCGGCTCTGCAGAGCTGGATGCCGGGTGGACCCGAGCGCCGAGGCACACGATTCATCTCCCGGCATGTACGGGTGGAGGTAGCGAGCAACGCCGGGGATTAGCGAGTCTTTGGTTTATTCTGTGCCGTGGGTTCGCGTGTGCTTTGCAGGAACATAAAGGAGAGGTCCAAAGACAGAACTGTCCTATAGAGAGAGCTCTATGGGAAGCATAACTCACATGTTCCTCTGTGACATTTAGAAGAGTGAAGTTCGTGCTGTTGTATTACCTTTACAAGGATCATGCTATGCTTTCACTGTGAAAGTGTAAGAAAAAGCAGATAGGATGCTTGTGCAGTAAAACTGTCACTTCCTTTTGAACAGAAGCTGTTCATCAGTTCTTGTGAAAAAAGAACAAGATTTCTTTTCTTCTTACTCCAAGAGATTTGGTCGGTCTCAAAAGTCATTTACAGGAGCTAGAACGGTGCCTTCCTCTGTGTGGGCTGCCAGAACACACAGCCCCGGATGCCAAGGATAAAGCTTGGTCTCCTCCACACGTTGATTCCCAGACCAGCTGGCACAGAAACTCAGTGCCTATGGCACCTTTCTGAAAGGCAGTTGCCAAGAAGCTTGACTGGAAGACCAGTGAGCTCAATGAAGATCTTTGCGTTGTCTTCACTGGGCTCTGGGTCAAGTCCCCAGGCTGGGAAGCGCGGAGCCAGGCTGCGTGCGGTCCCAGCGAGCACACGGCAGGTGCTGCAGCACAGCCTGCGGCCAGGCTGCTGGCAGGGGGCTGGGGCAGCGGGCACGGGGTGGGCATCGAACACGGACAGGGTCCTTCACTGACATTTCAGTATGGAGCATCTGGCTGCGCAGAGATGCTGGTAAAGTAATTAATGGGAAAGGAAAAAAAAAAATCACAAAAATCTCCAAGTCTGAATTCTTGAAGTGGGGCTCTTAGTGGATTTGCAGCACTGATGCATTCTTCTTAGGTAAGTGCTTTTTCCCATGCCTGGATCCCTCTTGATGGATTTTGACACAGATTTGCAAAAACACAAAGGCAGCTTAGTTTTCAGTTAAAGATTTTAGAAGACATATCTCTGAAGTGGAGATTACTGTCTTTCTCATTTTCCACCCTGCGTGTAGCTTACATCTTATTTAAAAAAAAAAAAAAAAAAAGGTTTGGCTTTCTGTCCACTTCCAGTCTCCCCTATGATCTGATTCTGTCCATGGCTGCAGACTTTTATCATACACAGTGCAGACTTTTCATCATACACTGTGCAATGGGTTTAGTTTAAAAAAAAGCACTCAGTTGTATAAAGATACATAAAAACTAAAATTAAGTTAGATGTCAGCCACCTAACTGTAGGTGAACTTTGCGATCTCAGCTGAAGGAAGCAGAAATAATCTCCACACACAGCAAACATCGGCCAGGCCTGACAAGCCCTTCGGGGTCTGAATTACGTGGCTGTTAGCAAAGCTGTGGTCCTTCGCTGGTGGTGGCACCTCGGTGCCCTGGCCACGGGGCTGCTGCCTCCCTCGCCGCCCAGGGACCTTCCTCTCCTCAGGCTGCCAGCACCAAGCGCAGTCTTTTTCTCTTTCCTAAAGTCAGGCTTTCTCTGTGTTACCACGCAATGGAAGCTGGCCATTCCCTTGCATCTCAAGAGCCATTTCATTATCTTCTCATGCTTGTCTTACCTGACACACATTATTGCTTGCTTTCTAACTGCAAGCATGTTCCAAGACGAAAGCTTTGAGTTCAATCAAATTCCCAGCAGAATCCCAGGCGTGTTATCTTTCTTCAGGTACAAATTATTTAATTACATATATGTGCTAGAACCTCTTGAAACAGTCTAGCACTCATTTGCTGAAGAATGAAAACCTGAAGCACAGCAGTCACTGTCTCCAGTATTCCTATTACAACAATAATCCTTATTAGCCCTCCTGACTGGGGACAGTGACTTTCCCCTTTGCAGCTGGCCCTGCTATTTTCTACTTATGCCTTACTGCTTGCTTCGTTTCTGCACTGAGGATGGGCCAGAAGCTGGGTGATGCTTGCTGCTTTCCCCGGCCTTCACTCCTGCCCAGGACGACTGCCCCCCGTTTAGTGAAGGGGGAAGAAGAGTTTTGGCCAGAAGCAGTCCACCTCCTCCACCCCACTCACTCTGCGCACTTCCCTGATAGCTAACTTTGACACATCCACCTCAGCCAGCCAGCACACAACCCACAGCATGTCCCCGTCCAGAGATGTTTGGTAAGCTGACCCAGTACAGCACTTGTCTGTGGCTTTCAGAGCTAGCACAGGTTTTGGTGCTCTGCTGCACCTGACGTTCACGCGTGTGCCTGAACTTCTGGATGAACTGAAGGTCTCAGACTGCAACCTGAAATCCAAGTGGAGACTAAAACAAGTCAGCCATGTTTCCAAAGGCACTGTTTAAAACATTTCATTTAAATCAAGTTATTTTGAAATAATTCATATTAATGCAACTTGTCATGCTCTGGCTTTAAGGTTCCTGTGTTTTTTTTTCCTCACAGCAAGCTCTCTCCCAGACCATGCACCAACTGCTGGCCCCACTGCCCCTCCGGCACCCTATGGAGCAGCCAGCGTTTGCTTCCATGTCATTCTGACACCAGTCCGCTTCTTTGCCTACCAGAAAATATTTTAGGAGCAGGAGTGGCTGTGCTGTGGAATAAATTTGCTTCAAGTGTTCTGCATTTTTTTCTTGGGCAAAATTCAAGTTACCTGCCTGTCTCTGTGGAGACTTTGCAGACTGAAGATGTTAAAGGCATTCAATATTTTTCCTTCTGGTGTCTTACTTTTAAATGTCAGAAGGTCATTTTGTCTCCTGGAGGGCTAGATGCCCTCTAGACTGATGAATTAATGATACACAGGTACAGAGGCATTGTAACTTACCAGCTTCAGGAAAACTCCTTTTGCTCTCAAATATTGATGTCTGCTCTGTTATCATCGTCATATTTCGAGGCACAAAAGGCATAGCCAATTCCCTGAAATATTTATCACCATGCATGATACCTGCATTCACCTTTTAATGTATACAGATGGGCAACATGTAGGTTACTCACCCCTTCTCCCTCATGAGACTTGCATTTAAAAAGCCAGTTCAGGTTTACATAAGGTGATGGCAGCATAGCCAGGGATTGAATTAACAAATTCTGAACTGCAGGGCAAGATCTTCTGCACCAGACCACTTCCCTTCAAATTACTATTCCATTTGAGCTCAGCTCACAAAGCAGGGACTTCAAGCCTCCCTCCAGACAGAGCTGTGTGGAGGCTTTGCCTACCTGGGATAAAAATGTCAGATATCTAAACAACTGATATTTCAAATTCAAAACAGAAACTATAACAAAATTTTAAATCCATTTGCTGTCTTAAGTCAAATTAAAATTCAGGTGGCAGGAACTGTAAGTTAAACTTCCAGTGATATTCAGGCACAGTTTCCCCAGGGTCAGAGTATGATCCAGCATTAGCTGTCCATATAAATGGGAACAGTGCTTTCAGACACATTATTTCAGATTAAAATCTTCCATTAGCATATATTTTAAAGAGCACTTACATTCATCATAAGCAAGTGGGTGGAGGGAAAAGTCTTATAAAAAAGGGCTTCAATAGAAAAAAAAAAAAAAAAAAGAAAGAAAACAAGAAAAGACCAACAATGCAATAGCAATTGCATTTGATTTTCTGTGGACTGTTACAATTTAGACTTTATTATTCAAAACACAAATGGCAAGTACGTAATAGCTACTAATAATGGAACTTCAGAGTGGCTGGAAAAGAAAGGCTTTAAAATGGATTTGATAGTCCTTGAATTTTCAGCTGAAAGATTTGGGTGACAGAACAAAGAAAACCAATATGACATTGTAAATCTTCCCTCTCCCTGAGCTGATGGGTATTGTCTAGCTAGTCCTCTTGGGTCTGCATCTTGAGCCTTTATTTTTTTCTTTATTTTTTTCTTTTTTCCTTTTTATCTCCTTAAAATCACACAGACTGCCATTGACAGTGTGTTCGGTTCCCATCTGACATCTGGCCACATGATATCCATTGTGGTATGAAACCAGCAGATAACACTGGCAGACAGCAAAGTCCTGTTGGAGTCTCTGGGTACGCCAGCGCAGCTCACTGCACTGGTAGGCACTCTGCAGTCCACAGGGACAGCCCCCATTTCTGGGAAGAGCAGCCACCCTGACATTGCTGAAGAATGCAGTATCCTTTGCTGTGGTAGACTTTTGGCTCCAGAAGTCTCCAAGCCTTTAACGCGCCTTAGGGTAAGTTTTCTTCTTAGGTAGGTGCTAAATCTGGTCATTCTTCATAATCTCTGTTGGAATATAGGACAGAAAAGAGAAACCCAAACCATCTTTTCCTTAACTGAAAACTCACTGCTAACAAAAATGACTTGACAATGAATGGAGAACGTAGGCGATTTTTACTGTGTCATGTACATATACTGATACTGTACACTTCTTCACCTCTGCAAGCAGTCTGCTCTTCGGTGCACCAACCTGTGCGTATTGCTTTTAGTCTGTCTGTGAAAATACAGACACAGTAAGCAGGAGACCCTCAAGTTCAGCTGAGACCATCCAGGAGCTGCATTTAGATGCACACTTCTCTCTGCATTCACATGGAGTTGTGTTGCCTTTGATGAGAAGTTCAAAACTTGTTCACTTTTCAGTCTTAAAACCAAGCCTATCTACAAGTGCCTTGTGGATCTGAGGGCAGAGAGCTGCAACTCTGCCAGCAAGAGTCTGTAACGGGAATCCTGCCACCTTGAGCCCTTGACAAAGCATTAGAGACCAGAAGACACAGCGGAGACCTCTCATTTACACCTCTCCACTCATCATCCAGGAAGTCAAATTGATTAACTGGGATTTGGATGCATCTGACAAGGTGAGAAAAATTTCAGTAGCACCTCAGCATTTGCTGTGCATTTTCCTGCCTTTAAACAAGGGCATCCTGCATTTGCCCATTATTTCTGCTCCTGGATTGATTTGAAGTTGTGATAGGTTTGCTGGGATAACTCACGTACTGAGGAAGCGAGGAATGAAGGAAGATGAGGCTCAAGCTGTAGTGGCCACGTGTGCATTCATTTCAAATCTCTGTCTCTTTGTGCAGCTCTGAGAAAAGGAAGAGAAGTGACAAAGAAAAAAAAAAATGTATTAGCTTACAAAGGATGGTCCCACAGAGAAGCTGGCAGCAATTAGTGTCCTTCCAAGCTCTGCTTGGGCAAAAGCACCCCTCGGGCCCCTGGTATGGGTACCTGAATACGGTGACAAGTGTACCTGTGGGCAGCTGTGCAAGGAGCTGTGGCTCAGGAGGGCTTTGGGCAGCAGGCAATGCCTGAAGCAGCCACAGCCTCGTGGGGAGAACGGGCAGCTGAAAGCCTCTGCGGGTCAGAAATTCAGCAGGGGGGGGTGAGTGGTACAGCTCTCTGTGCCTGCAAACATGTGGCAGCAGAAGCAAAAACAATCAGAAAGGGACATTTGTTTTTGTCAGTCACTCACTCTGACGCATTTATTTTTTAGTTTTCAGTTAATTCAGGCAAAAGAGGTTATGAAGTTACAATAATGAAATCTGAAGAGCATACTCCAAACAGTAATTCCCCAGAAGGTCTAAAGTGCTCAAATACAAAAACACTAATTACTGTGCTTTTTAATTTGTAAATTCAACCTGTCTTACCACCAAGGGAACACAAAATGGCAAATGTGGCATCCTTTCTAAAACAAGAGCCAGGGGCAATCCCAGTCACTTCAAATCAGCACGTCCAGCTTCCCTTCCAGGCAGCCTGAAAAACAAAATTAACACACGTGGAGAAAGGTGATTGACTAGAGGAAATGTTTGGATGCCTTGGTTTTAGAGAAACATTCTTGCTTAAAGAAGGCAGTGTGGACAAGGAGGACCCACTACGTACAGCCAGTTCGGGTCCCCAGAAAGATACGTGCTGGATTTCTCACCAAAGGCTCTTGAAGAAATGAAGCCACCATGTGATGGCGCGCCCAGGACAGCCCGGACAGCCCAGGGGCACAAAAACCTGGCAGCAAGGAATTCAGGTGGCTTTGCCTGCCCCAGGGCAACAAGCAGGAGAGCCCGTGCAGGACACTGGCAGGCAGCAGGGCTGCAGGCTGTGATGTTCTCCATGGCAGTCCAGGAAAATACTGCAGCAAAGGAGGACTGGCTTAACTGAAGAGAAGCAAAGAGGGGCATTTTTCAATGTCAGGGAAAGCCTCAGGTTTGCTGAGCAGTGCTGGAACTTACTTGAGGGGCTGGCCTTAGCTGCTGAAAAATACTGCTGTTTCAGACATACAGCTATGCTGCACCACACTCACATCTCTACAGCTTTAAGCAGGCAAAGAATTCCGGGGCTTGAGTGTGTTTGCAAAATGCAGTGCTTGGGAAAATTGCAGCCTCAAAATCTCAGGTCTAAGGAGCTAAATGAGAGCACTGGAAAATGACCTCTGGACCTGGGACCAAGCAATACAGAAAGATTTCCAGAGCTATTCAGGGACGGATTTCTGTAATACTTTGTGGCCAAGGTAGTAATTTGCCATTTTTTCCTTCCTGATGCAGAATCATCCAGTGTCCTAAACAATCCAGGGAACAAATAAATAGGCAAACCACCCAACTAGCATGTGGCTGTACAGAGTAGCCAGCCAGCATACTCTGTGAAGACTGTTCCAAGTTCCAATTACTGGGCAAAACATGTTTACATGTGTAAATCTAGGCTCCTTTATCTGCAATAGTTTCTACAACTTACTCAAATGGAAACTCAAATACTGCTTCTGTGGAGTTAATCTGAAATCTTCCGGAACCAGGACTGTGGAACAAATGCAAAGCAGAACGAAAATATATGAAGGTTTACTGCCTGTTACCTGTTCGCAGTGCTTTCATCTCGGAAGAATTGCCGAGGCTTCCACATGTTTCGGGGATCAAGCAGCTGCTGATCTCCAGTTCCCAACACAGTCTCAGTTTGCCCATGGCTGTTGGCGTGATCGGTGGCCGTGCGGCTCCACGGGTGCCTGCAGTGACACCTGAGCGTCCTGGGAAGCAAACCCCAGCCCCTGGCCGCTGCAGCCTGGACGGGCGCTCTGGGCATGACCCTGCACACAGCACCTGCAGATTTGTTATCTCCAGGGAAATGTCAAATGAAGCTTCAAAATGTTCTTGAAACTCTCTGATCTTCCTCTGGATTTTGGGGCAGCTTTGCTCAGCTGCTGGATGTCGTGCTTGGCAAATAAGAGGCTGCTAGTCCTGTCTGAGGCCGTAGCCTCGATACAAGAAGATGTCACAGGAATGCTGATTTCCTGCGTCCATCTCTTTCACTTGAGGGGCTGATCTAAATCACAGTCCTATAGGGTTCCTCCTTTTCTAGATGTGAGAACAACTTAGGAAACTCTTTCTTGCTTTTGCAACACTTGCAAGCTGCTCACAAGAAGAGGCGAGTCACCTCTGCTGCTGCTCATGGCACATCCCGTCTTTCCAGGGAAGCTGCCCGGGACACAACTGAAGCAAGCAGGGGCTGGGAAGGGGAGGAGAGGGAAGGAGAGGGGAGGCTGCCCCACACTCCAGCCTGACCTTCTCCACTGTGTGCATCGCACAGTGCCTGTCTCCAAACACCTAACCCACAGCCACAAAATATTTTGTCAAAGTGAGGGAGAGCCACGCCATGTCAGGATTCAGATACAGTTGCTAAGTGAAAGCCCTTCCCAAGAGGAAACGTGGAGCAGGATTTCAAAGCCTTTGGTCGGCTTTATGCTATCCACGGTACAAGCAGAGCCAAGGCTAACACTGAGACCTGTGGAAAGCCTGCCACATCGTCTGTTCATCTGGCCGCTCTGGCAACCCACTGCTCATGTCAGTGATGCTTAATTACACTGGATGATGGATTAATTTGTGTATTTGGGGCTTGTCCAACCTGGAACTTGGGTCCTATCCATTCTTCTTCCAGTTGTTATTCCTGTCCTTGCTGGTACTAAAATGGGAAATGTCCCTTCTGCTTTTCTCTCTCTAGTCCAAGGTGTTTATGTTTAGTGTCAAGTAGTCATGGGTATCAGGTGGATTTATCTTTCAAACTTTTTCTCTCTCTCTCTTTTTTTTTTTTTTTTTTTTTTTTTTGTGACTATGCAGTGCCTGGGATTAAAATGTGCATTAATGTTCTGTGTTTTCTGTTTCACTGATTAGCTTGGCAAGCACAGAAGCCAAATCTTTCCCAGAGGCACATGAATGGCTTCAGAGGAAGAATACCGTGAACCTCTCTTTACTATGTTCTCTTTGTTTGCTTAAGAATATGAACAATTAAAGCTGAAGAGACAGGCATTTCCTTTTTATATAGAAAATTCACTGCCAAATGCAGGGCCTGGGGAGCAATTTTCCTCTTTCCATTCAGTTCATTTGTGCTAATGAACAGGGTATAATCTAAATGAAGAAAAAAAAAAAAAGTTACTCTGGTCACTGATGTCGCTTGCTGAGACGGAGGAAAGCCTGACTCAGACCAGCCTAAACTGAGTTATGGAATTGAACCCTAAAATCCTTCTGTTATGAAAGTAGTCATCTCTTGTCAACATTGGAGACCTCATATGAGAGCACAGATAAATCTCTGGGCTATTGCCATCTGCTTATTTTTACAGTCTAAGCTCTCCAATTCTGATTCAGGAACTAGTATTTATTTATCTCAAAAAAGAAAAGGTGCAGAAACGGCTGTTACAGTTGCATGGGGCTGTGAACAAAGATAGGCCAATATTCTGCTTTGCCTGCATTTGAAGTGATGGTGAATTGACAACCTCTCCATGTGTGAGAAGCTCATTGTCAGAAAAGATATGCTAAAGCTGCAGGTAGCTTTCAAGGCAGCTGCAGCTCTTCACCTCTCCTACTCATGCCAGCCAGAGATTTCTGCTCCAGCCAATCATCAGGACTGCAATAAAGTGATGGAAGTGGCCCACATAGGCACCTGGATACCTTCCTTACTGCAGCAAGCAGGGTGAGCACTTTAGATCATGACATTCTTCTGCAAGGCTGCTCAGCAAGTGATTTCCTTTCTTTTCTGTTTAGTATATGGTTGGGATCCTACACACTGAAAAAGAGCTTGAAAAGAAGACTTCGAAAAGAAAGAAAGTGATATGTGAATGTGTGGGCAATAGAAAGAGCAAAATAAATACCATTCTACAGCTTAAAAATATTAGTTTATCTTTTCTTCTGAAAGACCAGATGCCACAGACCTGGCAGCTGATCTGCTCCACAGAGAGCGCTGTGCTCCAGGACCGACTATTGGTCAGTAGTGGCTTACCAGCAGTCCTTAGCTTCCTGCAGCAAAGCTGTGAAATATCACAGCTTCTGAGCACTACATTCACCCCAGGCTCCAAGCTGTTCCAGACTCATCTGCAATTACACCCACAGGAGAACTGCCTTGGTGGAGTGCTTGCTAGGACTGCACAGCCAAAGACTCAGCAATCAAGTAGACTTCTTGTGCAATATGAATCCATGCTGTTTATGTGTCTGTTTCATGATAATCTTCATCTATGTAATTCAGTACTATCTCTCCATTGGGACTTCTGCTGCTTCTCCACCAGAGCTGGATAATGTTTATTTAATGAACACTTTACACAGTTGCTTTCTGGAGATGAGCTACCAGGTCATGATGGAGTTTCTACTGGTTGCTCTTCAAACTTGTTAGTCTTTTTTTATTATTATTATTATTTTATTTTTCCCAAAGTATCTAGTTTTTAAATAAAACCTGAGGCTCAATCTGTATGTAGATCTCACTACTGGATGTTATCATGGAGACCCTGGTCTGGTCTGGAGACAGACAATAAAGATTCAAAATTTCAAATCTAGATTAAACACTATTTTTTCTCCAGGTTAGCTCATACCTACTTTTGAGAAATCAATGCATTAAAATGAAAAGCTGTTAAGTGTAATTGTACTTCAAAGAACTTTAAAATCATTTCAAGATAACGTCAACTCCAGTCCCTGGCAAGCATTTGCAAATTCCTCCCCTCCCACACACCTGGCAAATGCCCGGCTGAACCAGTTTACCCTCCCTGGCCCAGGTGTAATTCCTCACTGCTCACTTGCCCATCAGACTGCTGGAACTGCTCTTCCAGAGAGTTTTGATTGATGACTGAGCTTGGGGGCTGTGAACAGTGCAGCTCTTGCAGCTCTGAAACGTTCACAAACTGGTATTTTATTCTCTTCCAGAAACACAACTATATTATGAAATCTTCTTCCTCTACCAAATGCTGTGTATTTTATAAGAACATAATGTCAGCTTTGATGTTGTTATCTGGGTTTGTCTGTTTCTCGAGTGCTTTGAAATATGTGAGATCTTCCTTTATAGACCACATCATAACACTCCCATTTCCTACAGGGCTCAGCAATTAATACTCATCTTAATGCTCTGACAAGTATCGAACATAAAAGGGGACCAGAAGATACAGGGTGGCTCTTCAAAGGCTATGAAAACATTTTTTGAATTGCTGCTTGTAAACTCTTTCTGGATTCTTAGGAAGCTCAGAACTTTGGTAGAAAAGAGATTTCCAGTGAATGTCCCAGGACAGCCTGAATATTCATGTCACTAAAATGCCAAAAAAAACCCCTATCCCAGTTCCTACGTGCTTCATCCATTAACTGTACTAAAGGACTGTCCATTTCTTCACAACCTAGGAGACAGAAAAAAGTTTCTTGAAAAATCTATAAAAATACATAAGAAGCTTGCAAGGATGACCAAGTGGGCATTGTTAGTAGCATGAACATCCTGGACAGGGTGCAGAAAGGGAGGAGGAAGCTGTACTGCTGATGGGGAGTGCAGATCCTTTGGTAGTTCCCTTCAAGATTACCCATGAATGCTTCTTGCCTTCTAACCCAACTTTCTCATTATTTTTTTGATTTTTCTATATCTGAGCACATTTTGCTTTTACTGCTCTCTTAGTTACTGCTCACAGAGATTGATGACCATGACTCCAAAATTCCAAACTGAGGGTAACTGAGAAGAGCTAATCTGCGTATTCATCAGAATGCCCTTCAAGATTGCAGACCATCTATGACTTCCTTTGAGGGCTGCTAGAAACAGGATGTTTTCAGCAATTTTTACTGTCTTTTAGGGCGGTGGGCAATGGAGTGTAACAAATTGTTAAATTTGCACCTCCGTTTGCAAGCTATTTCACTACTGAAGCAAGATCATAGCAGAAACAAGGAAACAAATACAGACCTACAATTATATATACATATTTTTAATGCAAATCAACATCTTTAATGTTGGATTAGTTTGAATAGTGCTCTGCTATCTTTCCCTGTGCTATCTCCACTCTTACGACCAAACCAACACATTCTGCTACACTCTACTCAAGATAGTATGTCCCCAACGCTGGAGAAAACAGGAAATGGATGGTCTAACTCACTGCATCATCATGTTCGTGGCCACACAGCAGCTCAGAAATAATAAGACAGATCACTAGGGGAGAAAAATATTTTGGAGCTGTTGGAGAATTGTTGGAGAAGCAGTTTAACAGCTACTCAGTTCTCAGAGAAAGCAAAATCACTCACTTTGTTTAGACAATCTTTTGACTTCTTCTCCTGAATATTTACAAAACACAGAACGGGATTATTTGAGCAGCTGCTGTTAAAAGCCAGAGCCATAGACTCTAGAGTCAACCAGGAGACCCAGAAAACACGAGGCTTTGTCTCCACGAATGGGAGCTGATGGGAGCCTTCAACCCAAAGGGCTGAATTTTCATGAGTTCAGAACCAGCACGTTCAAGAATCACTACATAGCACCTTTCTGAGCATTTCAGGTCATTTATTGGGGTAATTACTGAGGTCAGCAGTGGCAAAAAGGGTTGCTTCAGCTGCCACAACATAACCAAATGCCACTGAATTCTCAGAGTACAGGAGCTATGCTCAGAGAAGTCAGAGTTGTGAAACTGCCTTGTCACTGACAGAGGAGTGAGGTATTACGGAAAGATTCACAGGAGGAAGAAACCACTATGTGACTTGAAAAGCAGATAATAATAGGCAATTATACAGGTAGCAAATAAGGCTTTTAGTTGCAAAGTGAAATCTAAGCTATTAAAACTCTTAAGTGCTTCAAGATGCGGGGACTGAAACTTGAGTCGAGTGGCTCAAAAGCAGAGCCACTTGCAAGGTGTAGATACAAACTAGAAATGGGACTAGAGGGAATGGCCTCAAGTTGTGCCAGGGAAGGTTTAGATTGGAAATCAAGAGACATTTCTTCTCGGAAAGAGCAGTCAGGCATTGGGACGGGTTGCCCAGGGAGGTGGTGGAGTCACCGTCCCTGGGGGTGTTCAAGGAGAGGTTGGACGAGGTGCTGAGGGACATGGGTTAGTGGGTGACATTGGTGGTAGAGGGGGTGGTTGGACCAGATGATCTTGGAGGTCTATTCCAACCTTAATGATTCTATGATTTAAGCTCCTTCTTGTGTTGAAGCTTACTAGAGACTAAGACAAATATCTTTAATCTACATCATATTGTTCAGTGTAAACCTACTTACAGATTTTAGGGCCATCAAGGAATTATCTAACACCCAGGAAATCTGTATGTAGTGTCATTTTCTATGCCCCTGTGGTGTATTGCCCTCCAGTTTCCTGCTGGTATGGTGCTAAAGTAGAAGGGAAATTGTTTCCTCATGAATCAACGCAAGCAGTATCTTTTGTTTGTTTTATCTGGCTATTTTCTGCCTCGGAGGAAGAAAATTGTGTCCATGATCCCATGAAACACCCATGATCCCTGTCAAACATCCACAGACCCCAGGCAAGGCGAGTAATTCTGGTCTTGGAAACTAAATATGAAGACAATTTTCTAATTATTCATTCCACCTCCTAGCTTTTGATTAGGCCTTGCTGACTGCTGAGCTGCACAGGCAGCAACTCCCACAGTTCAGTGAGAGCAAAGCACCACAGGCTGCCCGGGTATCACCGCACCATTTGATCATGTGCTGCTGCTCTTCGTGCTCCTGCTGCTGGAGCCTGGCCTGCTGGCTGTTGCTGCTACCAAGCAATGCTGGTGAGCAGAGCTAATTTATTGGAAAGAGGCATTGCTGCTCTGCATGTTCAGAAAGTGAAGGGCTGCTGTGGAGGAATAAATAGTAGGATGTGACATGACAACTCCGCTGCCCATGACCTTAGAAAAGACTTAGCTTTTTATCAGTGAATTCATACAGACAAACGCTGTTTTCCTGCCAGCAGCTGTCTGTGTGTTTTAAAGGCTTTGTGTGCATAAGCCAGGCGGCTATCTGCCTAGCTCCCTGGGGAACAGGAAGGCAAGGCGACGGATAACACAGCTTCGGGCCCTGGGTCCAAGGCGTGGAAGCTCTCACCCTCTTTGCATGCCCGGGCTGTGGGTGGGCAGGCAGGCGAGCGACTCCCTGGAGGCTGGGTCAGCAGTGCTGGAGCATCCCCTGCACTGCCTGGGCGTCACGCCGGGGCAGCGCCCGGGGCCGCGGGGCCAGAGCCAGGGCTGCTGGAGCTGGCAGCTCTCCAGCACCCACAGCATCCCGCAGCAGCAGCTGGGACTCGGGCACCACAAAGTTTCCCCAAAGGAGGCCTCGGCACAGAATATGCAGGACCCCGCGGATCTCTGCTCATGGAGAAGATGGGGCTTTCTTGCTTTCTTCTCTGCCTCTGTGGAGATCCTCGGTGACTGAACAAGGGAGGCAGTGTGTCGTTGTTAAGAGGGAGCAATAGAAAATGTTTTCCTGCAGCAGAAGGGATAAGGTCAGCAGCTCCGCTGATTAACATGCTTGGAATCTCCTTCCCGTCTGCCGCAGCGCCGGGAGCAGAGCTCGCTGCATCCCTCTGGGGCTGCAGGACCTGGCAGGGCAAGCACGGCAAAACCCCCGGCACACAGCAGCCCTGGATCCTGTTGGGCACTTTGGTGGCGATGGCTGGCACAAAACACAAAGAGGGATAAAGGAGAGGCACAAATTTGAGAGAAACACAGGCTGAGGGTTAGGCTTAGGTTACATCCTGGCTTGCTGAGGGGCTGGTAGTTCTGTGCTGCCTATGGCCTGAGTCATACTCCAGACTAGTCAGTTCTGACTTCGGTGAAAGTCTGGATCCTGAGCCAAAATTAGGAGGAGAACCCAAATGGGCATTAGCAGAATTCTGCTCCTACCAAATCCACACTTTGCCATGGCATGCCTCTGCTACTTGTTGCTGGAACCGGGGACTCATCCTGCCCCTTGCAGCGCCTGACACTGGCCTGACCCGGGCTGCTGTCCCCTGCAGAACCACAGCCGAGCGCTCCGGAGGCATGGACCAGTCTCAAGCCAGGGCTGGCTGGGGAGGGCACTGCTCCCCAGCCCCACAGGAGGACCCGCTCGGAGTTGGATAGCGAGTCTCCTGGCAGGAGGCAGGCCCTGGGCCAGGAGAGCCTTTCCCAAAGCCCCTCGTGCCTCCTCCATGCCAGAGTCACTGTGTGACCTTCCCAGTTCCCCCCTCCGTTAAAAGCTTGCCGTGCTGAGCTGTCCAGTTAGTGTCACCTGGGTCACCGGCATCCCAGCCGCATGAGCTGTCTCGCTGTGGTGCTTATTTGAAAGGTCAGGATCTGACTCACAACTCTAGTATGATGATATTTCTGGCTTTGTTTTAATCAGTTTCTCCTGTATGTCTCATGCATTGCCTGCTAGAACTTCTTGTCCTCCCAATTATGGTGAAAATAGATTATTAATAATAGACTAATTCAGGAACTACTTCGGAATTATTGACAAACACACAATCTAGTCCAACAATACAAATTCCTCATTTATCTTCCTCAGTGCTGGCATCGTTATAAACATTGGATGAGGCTTTCCACATTGTGGCTGGGAGGTAGAGAGCAAGGGAGATCACTTCTGTCTGCTGCTATGAATTTTTATCTTAAAATCATGAGTTTTAATATTAATTTGCCAACTCAAAAAGGAAGACAAAAAAAAGCACCCATTGCTGGGATCCTTTACCTAAGGGTCCCATTAACGTGAGGATTTCCTTTCTATTTCCAGTGAAAGAATTTACATTTTTTGTACCCTGAAGACAACCCCACGCTCTTACTGCTTTAGCCATAGGCATTCCAGTCCAGATTACATGAACTCCCAAATGTTTTTGAGATCTAATTCTTATTCCTCAGTCTAGACCCATCATGCCCAGCTATTTCACTCCTGAGATCCCAACAATTTAAAAAATGCATTTCCTCTGCAGCAATTTTATTCCACATTAATATCATGTCTTTTATGTCTCATTATTTGGCAAATGTTAATTCCTACCCAGCAGTCCTGTGAAGCACAGAAATTGCTATCGTTAACCTCACTTTACAGAAAGGGGAGAGTGGAAAAATAAAGTGATTTGCTGAACACAAAGAGGGAGAATCTGTCAACGTGGGAGTATGAGCTCAAAGGTCCACCTGTTGCCAGTATCCCAAGCCCCAGCTGTCCTTCTCCAGGTAGCCAACACAGTCCCACACCACATTGTATTCACATCTTTTCTTTTTTTAATTCTACACAACCTTTTTAAAAATAAATTCTGGGATTCTTCAGGCATTAAGACAGTAAGAGAAGTCTTCCTTCTCTCACTCTTCTATCAGGCAGACTGGCAGCAAAGTCTTGAGACTTTCTGCATTCAGTGCCCCTTTCCATCAGCCTGAAGATGACACCATGCCCCTTCTTGGTGAGAGCACACTGTATGCATGATCAGGCTCCACCTCTGACATCTTTGAGGTGGGATGGGTGCAGGAGCAACTTGAGCAGCGCAGGGCTGCCCAGCATCTGCATGGCTCTGCCTTCACCAAGGGTTTTGTGCGCAGTGGGAGCCGGCTGATGAGAGCTCCACGCACAATGCCAAGGTACAGTGATAATGTTGTTCCCTGACACAGTCATGGCTCTGACATGCAGAGATGGTATCTGCCGACTTCCCAGAAGCCAGGGCTTTCTCAGCTGTTTTTATTTTTGCTGAGTGACATGTTTGACAAATAGGAGCAGTTAGCTGGTTCCCAGCTGTCATGCAGCCGAGTCGCAAAGAACGTGCCGACAATGCTTGACACGGGAACAAAACAAGTGCTGCTTCTCAGCAATCGGCGTGTATCCGTTTTTAATGCTGCATATACTGGAAACTCATATCTCAGCTCACAGGAGACTGGATTGCCAAAATCTAGAACTCAGCTTGAGGAGGTGTCAGTAAAGATATTTCTGAAGCTCTGGACAAGCTCAGTCTGTGACGTACAATAACCCTGAAAAACTGTTTGTACAATGCATTGATTTTGTCACACACATAGGATGCTGCAGCCTGCAATTATAACAAAAGGCAAAGAAGAGTGTACACAACAGTTTAGGGTACACTTTTTTTCTGTCATTAGTGACAAATTTTTATTCAGACTTAAGAAAATTACCACATTGTATAAGCAAGCCACTTAGTTTTTCTTTTCTCTTTCTCCCATTTTATTTCAGAGGGGGTTTTATTTCTCTAATTAATTTTGCACTTTTTGGTGTGTGTTTATTTTTCTAAGAAATGCATCCATTAGAAGAGTTTCCTTGTAGCCTGAGGTATGGCTTTACCAGTAAAAAAAATCACCATAAAGATGCTGTTACTAACTGATTGCAGAAGGCTGAGTGGACTTAATGAGACTTCTCCAGCCTTTAGGATTCATAAATGACCAGGAGCAGACTGGATTGGGGTTGTGTTCCCAGCCCAAGTCTGTAACAGTCAGGCCCAGAAAACATTGAAGCGTGTTTTTCTGTTTTACTTACCCATGTGATGATTAACTTCAGATAGTTTGTACCTAATTAAAGGCCTTGAGCAACTTCAGCTGCTGCTGGAGAAAGAGAAGCAAGAACAGAGTTGCTCACTGCAAAGCCATGCATTCGGGAAGCAGAGAAGTGGCTCTGCCTCAGGAGCACAGCAAAAGGAAGGCCCACGCTGTCACCTTCAGCCCAAAGAGACAAACAGAAAACAAATACCCTCCACTGGTTTTGCACCAATCTTTTCTGACAAGGTAGAAGCAGATCACAGGGTCAATTTGGGAGCACTATCAAGAGGAAGTATTAAGACATTAAATGCTTTCCTGACATGTACTGAAAGTTAAAATCGCATTAATAATTGCAGAACTGGGTTACAGCAGGCTTCCATTCACAGGCTATCAAGAAACCCAAGCATGTAACTCATGGCGGTTTTGGGGTCATTTTCAGACCTTTAACTTTTGTTAAGCATTTGCAGAAACCTGAGGAAGACTCCAAGAAAGAAAGAAAAAAAAAATATATCTTTCTGATCATTCTACAAAGCCTGTATTTTTCTTTGACCTTTTTAATATTTGTTTGTATTTTAGCAACTGCATAACCAATCCAAACTTGTCTCCAAGTTGACAGAATTACTAGGATGTAGGCAGTTCTAACAACTGCTTGCTAAACATTATACAAATACAGGGGGAAACCATGACAGAGAGTGCAAGTCTATAATCTGCCTCCAGCTCTCTGTGCCGGCACTGCAGGCTATGCTCAGCTGAACGGGACGTGCCAGGCAGCAAACAGGAACTCCTGATGCTATCCAGGATGCTGCCTTTGAGGCTGGATGGAAACCTCCAGAAGTCAGGACTGCACACATCTCAGCACCTGAATAAACCCAGTTTTGGAGAAGCATGGATCAGAGCCTGGGAAACAGGGAAGCAGCAAACCAACAAACGGAGAGCGAGAAGCGGAGAAGCTGCAGATTCTGTGGGAGATGCGTTCGGCCCGAGAGCTCCAGAAACGGAACGAGTTAACAGGCTTGGTCTGTGCAGCTCACTTTTGGGGTGGTTCCCCCCCCCCCCGCAGCCCACGGGTGAGCTCCTGCCAGGCCCCGGGGAGCAGCGGCGCAGAGGTGACACCTGGTGGCCCGGCCGCGGCGCTCCAGGACGAGCGGCGGCGCCCCGCGGGGGGGGTCCCGGGGGCGTCCCGCCGGGCATCCCGGCCCGTCCGCGCACGGGGAGCTGAAGGCTGAGCACCGGCTGTGCGGCGGGGCTGAGGGGTGCGCTCCCCGAACCGGCACGGATCCTTCTTGCTGCTCGCTCGCCAGCGCTCTCCTCCTGGGACAAGTGCCCGGACACTCAACTGGGACAACCAGAATAGAAACTCTGGGGCTGGGTTTATAAAAGCAAGTCTTTGTACGGCCCCTGCCAAGGTCCCAGGCATATGCCACGCACATTCCTGTGCGAGACCGTGTGTTTCTTAGTGTTGTCCCCACCCCTCAGGCAGCAGAGGAGGCTCACTGCCCCCAGAGGAGATGCTCACAGGGCTCAGCTGCACCAGCTTGGAGTGTGTGCATCTCTTCCTACTTAGGTGGCCGTGCTGAGAGACGATTAGTCCTCTACTAGACTGCTAAGTAACTGATTCATTTTTAGATGATTTTTAGTTTCCACATAAAGTAGAAGAGCTTTCCACAGGAGGGCCTGTCTCAGGCAGTCTTCCTGTGTGGGCGTTTGCTGGAGGCAAGGGAACTCTTCAAGGAAGCAAGGTTCGCAGGCCAAAGTCTCCTTGGGCTTGGGAGGAGATCCTCCCACTGAGAACAACTTCCCCTTGCTGGGCAAATGATTTAGTTACACAGTTTGGGTGTGAGTGTAGCTGTGATAATCACTCCAGTTCTGCCTGCAGATGGCTGGTGTGCCTTATGAAAGCTTACCTGGCCAAGCCACTCAGAAGACACCACTGAAAAGAATCTCTTTTCTGTGCCTTTATTCAAATTACCAACTTCCTAAGTGTACTGCCTCTTTTCAAAGTGCATGGCTTTCATGTGCAAAGCATGTGGCAAGAGGGAGAAGGAGAACAGCACTGGGGTTATTGGGAGAACCAGAGAGGCATGCTCTACCACCGGAGCTTTTGGGCTTTGCTCCTGCTGCCGCAGTACTCCCTCGAGATAGATGAGGACACATGCATAACGGTGTCAGCCAGTTATGCTCCTGGCCCTTTAAGCCTCAATCTGAAACGTAATACTTCAGGAATATTATGGTTTAAACAATTTTAGTCAGTGAGTCAGTTCTGGATTAACAGCCCACGGAGGGAGGGTAATCACTCTCCCTCATAAATTAGCAACCAACAAGCTCTTTCCTTTGATGAATGTTGTTTTAAAGACTCATCTCACTTATTAGCTCCAAGCACACTGTCCATTAATCATGGACAAGGAAAAATGCACCCTCCTCCCCCTCATGGCTTTGTTCCTAGGATGACTAGCTCAGCCTCACCAGGAGACAAAACAAATAGGAAGAAGGGACCAGAAAGGACAAGGTCCCACTAGTCACATGGAGAAGTGGGGATCATTATGGGAAGGTCACCTCAAGTAATGGGAAGGATGGGAAATAGCACAACTGCTTACAAGACTTTGACCTAAAAATATTCAAAAACAGCTAAACTTTTACCTGTCTCCAGAAAAGATCCTGTGCCAAAATGCAGGCAGTTCCAAATCTGGGTAGAATAGGCCCTAATGGCCTCATCCTGACACCAGCTTATTGATTGCCACACACCCTCTCAGTTTCACATGACCCATGCTTACTTCCATTAACTCTGGCTATTTTACCAGTAATTAACTCCTTCACTACTTAAATGAGCTCATTTTCACTACAAATCTGTACCTGTAGTGTTCTCAGCAAGCTGTGATTTACTGAGGGGGAATAGCAGTTAAATAGACCATGACAGCAGGTGAAGCTGCTAATGAGCAGAGAATTTCCTTGCACCTGGTTTGGATTTTATTTCTCAGTCTCCAGAAACTGAAAAAAAAAAAAAAAAAATCTGATTATCCAGTCTGGGGAGGGAGATTTTGGTGATACCACTGAAGAGCCTCTGGGCTTGACTTTGAGCAGAAAGTCCCAGATGGGTCTGTTAAGTATATATTTATTCTAACTTGCAAGGCATCATGGAAGGGTGGTAACTGCAACAAGTGCCAAAATGTGATCCAATCTCATATAAGATCTTGAATCAAATTTGTGACCTAATTCTGCTAGTTTCTGCAAACTTAGAAAAGTTCCGCCACTCTTACTAGTATCTATGAAGGACATATTTCAAATGAGGCTTTTATGCTTATTTACATATAACCATGTGCATATGCACACATTTTCAAGAGGGAATAATTGGAAATCATGCTTTCTAAAATGTCACGGAACTAAAGAATGATGTTGCTTCATATTTGATTCAGAGCACAGGGAAGAATTCGTGCCTGGTTTAGAACAACTCGTGAAAATGCCTTTTTTTTCCCTTGCCTGATCTGGCAGATGCTCAGCCCTTTTAAGAACTACACTGCCCAGATGTTCTGCTGCCATTATGATGTGAGTAGCAAAGGAATGCTGGTGACTCATAGCTGATTGCGTGCTCACAGCATCATTTCTATTTATTCCTCATGGGCTTCTTGCCACCTTAATGTTGTCGCAGCTTGCACTAACAAACACATGCTTATTTGGAACTTAAAAAAACCTCTTAATTCTTCCAGGTGACATCCATCTTTCTGGAAAGACTTTTTTTCTGTCTTCTCATACTGTCTCCAAATTTCTTGAACCCATTCTTCTATACTGAGATCCCTTTCTAAACTGCACTTTCATTTGTCAATTGAACTATTTAAGATGCTAGGCAAGGTTTTAAGATTTACAGTCAGTGCTAATCTTTTAGACTTCCCCATTTATTCAATAAGGTTGAAGACTCTACCAACAACACTGTTTCTAGAACTGCTTATTATTACTTTAAACCACTGCTTTCTTCTTACTAAAATTTAATAATTGGCAAATCAGTAAGGTACATTAAAAAGGGAAAGTAAATCTTCATACCGCTTGTTTCACCACCATCAGCAGAGCTAGGATTTCAGTTTTAAACTTCGAATGATGATGGGATATTGCTGCAGCATCCTCTCCTCCAGGAGGACTCAAGACACGTTAACCAAGAGAATTACTATAGCGTGTATTGGTTAAAAAGAAGTATCTGATGCCTGCTGACACTGATGGCAAGGTGATTCCTTTTCTCCATTGGCATAATCACAGAAAAATTTTATAAGGATTTTTAAATCCCTGTTTAGAACTCATTGATATTTGTTTTAATAGGCTTTAAATCAAGTAATAACAGATCTGGCAATCTTCCCGTGAACAACCAGGGCCGGACTGGATGGGGCTTTGAGCAACCTGATCTAGTGGGAAGTGTCCCTGCCCATGGCACAGGGGGTTGGAATTAGATGTTCTTTAAGGTCCATTCCAAACCAAACCATTCTATGATTCATTGGGCCTAGCAAAGCACCAGTAGTTTTGCAATCCTTTCTTCACATTGTTTCAGTATTTTACACTTCAAAACCTTTTTTTGGGGCCTGCATTATTTTACAAAGTGCTCCCTGAAGAGGTTAAAGAAGCAGTTTATAGGCGATCATACTAGGCCAGCAGGCTCATTAGCAAAGGCATTAAAAGCAAGTTTGAATGTTTCAGAATCAATATAGCCAAGCTGCTGTGTCTCTCAAGCCTTTAGAATTGTCCATCCATGGGAGGAAACTGGGGCAAGTGCCTGGTTACACAGACTGCACCGGAGGAAGCAATTTTCCAAGGGACAAGAAGGGCAGAGGAGGAACAAGGTGCATCTACAGCAGGGATTAATTTATTTCTTTGTAGGCATGCTAACTCAGTGAAAAAAATCTTTAAACTGGGAGTGATGAAGTTGGTGACATGAACCCACAGGTGGGATCAGGCTACAGCAACCTGATAGGAAGCCTTAACTCATGCCGCCAGAGGACTGACAGGGAGAAAAAATATAGCTTTTCCATGCCTGTCCTAATGAAAGAAACACAAGCTCTTTGCTTAGAACAGCAAGAGATTCCTATACAAAGCTATACAAAAAAAAAAGGAAAAAAGAAAAAACAAGCAGAAAACAAGGTGTCCACAAAAGGAAATTATAAATATGATTTTAAGTTTCTTATAGAAAATTTTCCCCTGAGGCTTATTCAGTTTAAAATATTTTTTTTTATATAATGCTTGTTTATATTTTAATCGATTCTTACATGGCAGCTGATGATTCCTTTTTCTGGCTAGATCTCCAGTGAAACAAGTGTTTTCATAAAACATTTTTCAAGTCTTGTGTGACAGACCATTAGCATACTGGCTTCATGTGCTCTTAATACTTTCATTTCCTGCCTTAACTCTCTGTGACAAGTTATCCCCAGGCATTTTTGGGAAGCTTGCAACAGAAGAGGCTGCCTGAGGAATAGCAGAACCCCCTGGGATCCCTACTTTTGCCCCATACATTGGTTAGAGATCACTTCATCTCTAGCAAGCGATGCCAAAACCAAAATCACCAGGTCCACCAGCAGCACAAACAGATCCAGTTACCACTTGCTAAAGGTGCTCAAGGCCACTTCCACCCCAGACCTGCAGGGAGCCCTGGGCAGGGTAAAGTCCTGTACAGATACCACTGTGTGGACATTACTAAATAATATGGCTTGAGATCTTATGGCAAGCAACAGGTGTGAGCTGCCTAATATAAAAATAAGGTGCTTTACAGGAAACATGAATGCCTCGCTATGCATTGCCTTAGCAAACAGGCTAGAGTGATACTGGGGTTACTTGCCTCTTCAGGTAGCCACAAAGGTACCACAATGATAATGGAGTTGGGGAGGGTGGCAGGTCAGGGGAAGTGTTTTAATAGACAAGTATTTTTTAAAATACTTTTTATTTTTATTTTTAATTTTGTCTTTTCCTACTATCATAGGGAAGGACAAGATGATACAGTTCATTTGAAAATCTTGGATAACAAAGAAAATTGAACTGACATTTATACACACATGCTAATTATCAGAGACATCAGTACATCACAATGTGAATTTCCTAGAGTGAGAACGTAACAAAATTCATGTTGCTAGGTACCTTGCTTTAGGAACTGCTGTTTGAAAGCCCAGCCAGCTCCAGCAAATTTTAAAAAGGCAAAACCATATTTAATCACAGTAGTGACCATGTTCACAGTCAGGCTCCAGAACTGCAAAGGCTAAAATACAGAGTTAAAAAGCCTTCCAGGAAGAAACAGACATCTGGTGGGCAAGAGCTGAGATTTTTTTTTCCTGTTAAAAGAGGAACTGAAGAAAAATTATCACATCAACTTTCAGTCCTGACTGTGAGCCTGAGGGGTGGAAGCCAGCTCTTTTTTAGAGATCAAGCAAGAAACAAAAACTCATTTCTAGTTACAAGAAGAGGTTTCCCAGAACACATCTAAAACCTGCTCTTGGAGGCTCAAGGCAAAACAAACAGTCCTTGAATTTCTGCTACCCAGCTGTGTCCACGGTGGCAATTGACAGTGCCCAACTTTCTCTAAATCTATGCTTCCCCAGAATTCCTTTTGGTACCTCTCACAACAGTACCCAGAGGAATCTGGTTTAACATCTGCTCTTTTCAGTTTTCTAAGGCAAACTCATCACTGTCTGTTCTCCTGCAGGGTAGGAGACCAACTCAAGAAACTGGAGGAAAGGCACAAACGAAAGAGAATAAACCATACTGTGGTTCCAAGCTCACCTTTCTCTAGCAGAGCTGGGCACACTGGGCTTCACTGCCTGCTGGGAGCAGCAGCAGCAGGGCAGCACACTGAGGAACAGGAGCCAAAGGAGCTGTGGGGTGTGGGATCAGGGAGATAAGGCCTGGCTGATTGGGCAGGAAGGTGCAGCTTGTTTGGGGGAAACACGCAGGCCCACCTGAGGAGGGCTGCCACAGCTGACAGCTGTCATCATAGGATCAGGTAGGTAGGAAAAGGCCCATAAGATCATCAAGATTTGAGTCCTTTTCTCATGTTATTTCACAGCATCCATAACTTCAGTCTTCTGCCAGCATTTTGTGACCTAAACGTACAAGGCCCCTCACTAGAAGTCCACTTTAGCTCTGACGTGCATTGGAGGTGAGAGAAGAGGAACAATTCTGGGACTTGGGCAAAGTTGTTCCTTCCTGTAAAGCTCTGGCTTTAACCTCTGAGCCCTGAAGCATCTCTCTGAACAAGGATTACAGCCTGGGTAAGTGACTGTGAGTAATCTTGTTTGGCTGGTGTTTTTCTGAATTTATCAACTTTTAACTTTTTGATGACCTTCCTTCCTTCCCCTATTCCTGAGTAAGTACAAACACTGTAAATTATATGACTCTTGAAAGCAGGAGCTGGCAGTGTGTGTTAAAGCAACTGTCAGGAGTGTCATTTCAACTCGAGATGATGACAACCTCTCAGTATTCTTAATAATGCTCCTGAGTGCTTTTTTTTTTTTTTTTCTTTTATATAGAAATAACAATGGAGAAAAAAAAAAGGAAGAGATATGTAATGAGAATTGTGTAATTTTGCTTTTACAAAATGCTTTAGTTGAAGGCTTGGACTTTTTTGTATTATATGAAATGATCAAACATTGTCACTTGTGTTGATGTAACAAGAAGGGAGCGCTGCCCCAGAAGATTAGTGGAAAGACCCAACTCCACAGCTGGAAAGTCAAAAAATAGCCCGGGGGCATATAAAGCAGGGTATTATGGTGGAGGCATTAATGTAGCCATTAAGTTTGTGACCATTGTTATGCAACACATTATGTTCTGCTAGGCCACACCTGGTTAAAAGATCATCCCCTGCAGTCTCTCATTCTCAGGTAGCAGAGGCAGAGGTGATATGCTGTGAACACCAGGTCACAGCAGCACCTGAAACGCAGGCTGGCTGAGCACGTGGCTGCCTATTCCCATCAGACGGACCTGCTGCACATTAGGCCCAGGTGTATCTTCAGAAAACCTTGCTTTGACCACATTTAGCTATTGTACAACAACCTATAGTAAAGTCTCTAAATTCAGCTACATGGCCAAGAAATGTTTTTTAGTCCTTTCCCAAAAGCTGTGGAAACAATTCATGGTTCATAGTAACTTATGTATGGTCTGGTTCTGCCACCTTTCCACACACACTGAGCCATGCCTTATTCTCCATCCAGGGCTGTTTTGTCTTGAGATGCTCCTTACTGCCTGTCAGTAAATGTGGGAGAGTCTGACTCTTGTTGCTAGAGACAGCAGGATCTCCAGATCAGCAAAAGAAGAGAAAGAAGAGCTAATGTCAAATAATAGCAGTATTCAGTACTTCAAACATTTGCAGAACCTTTGCAAATACTAAGAAATTGCTTACAATATTGAGGATGATGTTATTATTCATCCACAGATTTTTTTTTAGTTATCACTTTTTAAAATGGTTCTCGCAAGACTAAGGCAATACCTCCTTTCTGATACTTTCTGCATAACGTTATGTTCTTAGCATCCTTTTTTCTGTCAGGTGATTGATGGAAACAAACCTTGCATGCATTGTGCTTTCCATATAAAAATATGGATGGAGTCTTGTGATTTTAAGACTAATGTAGAGGACTTGGGAGAAGAGTGGACAAAAGACAGCATGTCCACTCATAAGAAAAAGTGGAGAAAAAAATGCATGTTGTTCAAAACAGCCTTCAGAGCAGCAATCAGACTCTAGAAGACATTAATGAAAGGGGGAAAAATCTGTGGGATTTCTCTGTTTTAACTTCCCTGGGGCAACTGTTTTCCAATCATGGGCTTTTGTGTATGTTTAGGTGCAATGTTATTACTAGCAAACAGTCAGAAGCTGGAAAGGAGATACATTTTTATGACAGAGGACAAAACCCAACGCTGTCAACATTTGGTTCAACTTCACTGCAAATTTGTCACCTACCTTGTCTTTTTTTGGAGGGGTCCAAAGTTTTACATTCAATGTGTCAGTGGTATTTGGCTGCTCTGTGCTTTGGCTGACCACTGCAATTTAGCCGTCAGGGCCTATTTTTAGCTATATGAATAACGAAGAATCCTTTTGGAGTGGATCCTGAAATGTCCTGAGACTCAACAAGAATGCGATAGTGGCTCTCAGTGGAGCTTACTTGCAAGTGGCTTATTTGTCCATTTGCACAGTACCTTTTTTATCCCAGTGTTTGCAGTGAGTCACATTTCCTCTGCCCACTGTTTCCTTGTAAAAAGTAGTATAATAATGAGGTACTCTTTTGCTAACTTAGTATTCAGTGTAGGTCCAGGAAGTTAAGCTTTTCTATTGATTGTTTTCTATGGTTGTGAGTACAAAAGACTCTGCCAAAGTCTCCTCTGCCAGCCTGGCTTGTTAAGAGCCATCGGTGAAGTGTGTTTTGAACATAATTGCTTCACTTCCTTTGCTATCTGCACTATCACTTCTGAGAACTCGGGACTCATTGTAGTTATCCAGCTGGGCTGCATTAGGAACTCGAGGCCAGGTTACCTTATCTTATTTATTTTAATGTGTTCTTTTAACTTAGATACAGAACTCCTCAGATATATGTTATGTCTGAGGCCCCAGAGACCTGTGCCAAGGCAGTAGGCAAAGCTCCAGAATTACAGCACTAGCATTAGCAACAAGTGATTTAAACAGAGGCACACCATCAAAAAAGGATGGTTGTTTAGTAAATCAAGACTTTAGGTTTCTTGAATTGAGAGTGAACTTCCAGGGACATGCATGTGCAACCACAAATAACCTCTCTATGGAATTTGTTTCAATTGTTCATGTTGTAGATGACTGAAATGCTCAAAATAGGTGCCCACACTCATATGGTATTTCTTAAATCTAATCCCATTTGATATTATTTTAAAAATTCCGAGTGGAGAACTACTGAAAAAAAAAAAAACAGCACTTTAATAAGATATCTGTGTGTATGATAACCTTTATTCTACTTTTCATTCCCAAAGCAGACTGAAAAGTAATAAAGTTACCCGTCTCAGGTCAGGACTTGGAGGACAGACTTATCTCCAGAGTAGGACACCCCTTGCTGTCTGTTTCTGCGCTTGCACCAGACACCTCAGCGGACGCAGCAACAGAACCACTTCTCCTAGATGAGGGTAGCACCAGGTCAACTGCTTGAACACCTTATTGGTCCTGCAGTCTGCTGCCACGTGGAAGATGCCTGTCAAATGCTTGACATTTATTTTGATTTTTCCTGACCTTGCTATGTTTCAGTTTTACCCGTGTCTAACCTCAGCCAGCAATGCTTCATCAAATGCCATTTCAGCCAGACTCCAGCTAATACTTTGAGCCCCGCTTGATGACTCACACAAGGAAGAGCTGTAACGAGAGATTATTCTACAGCGTGCTGCCTCTGCGTGGCCTTCAGAACAAGCAAGCAGCTTTCGGTGCCTCTGCTTTGTCCAGCAAGCTGGCACTTCTCCTGGGACCCGCTGGAGCCGCCGTTCCGAGCACGGCGGGGCCGGACCCGCGGGCACCCCCGGGCTCCCCCGGGCCCCCCCGGCCCCCGGCCGCAGCGCGGTGTCGCGGCGCCCCCTGGCGGCAGCGCGGGGGGGTCCCGCCGCTCCCCCCGGCCCCTGCTCCGGGAGCGGCGCCGGAGTCGGACAGGTTGGGCACTGGGCAAGCAGAGCAGGGGTGGGAGCCGCCCAGTCAAATGGAAATACAAGAAGAGTGTGGGGAAAAGCAATGACATTTCTGGCAATCGGTGACTAACTCCGGATGAGGTTATTCATCTCCTTTTTTTTTTTTTTTTTTTTTTTTTTTTTTTTGTGTATTTTCTTTCCTATTGCTCTTTCCTCTCTTGAAAAACAAGAGGATTGACAACCAATGGTATGTGCTCATGAAAGAAAATATTTTCAGTGCAGCTCTTGCAACAGCATAGCTTTCAAAACAGCGCGCTGGAATTGACCAGGCAGACACAAGTTTAATTTTATCCTGTGGTAGGTTCAGAGCTAATTCTAAGCTGCCTCACATACTGTAGGAATCCATGCAGGCTATATTCCCCTGATGTGTTAATTCTTTATCTGATGAAACTATTCTGACCTCCTCGTTCCTTCTTGCCAGCCATCCCAGTGCCACAGGGAGCTGACCTGGCACAGGGGACATGCACTGCACCTGCGGGACTCAGAAGTTCTCCCTGCTGGTGCCAGGCAGCCGGCAAGGCAGGGGTCAGAGCCCTCGTGTTGTTGCAGTGCTTGCAACACATGCATTGGCAGACACCTCCAGGTCTAGTGCAGTGCTGCAGCTGGCAGTTCTTCCTTTCCCTGTCTGTCAAGCAAGAGCAGGAGAAGGCAAGTGCTGATGGTGGGGCTCCCTGCTTCCCTGTCTCTCACAGCACTTTCAGAGGCTGCAACAAAGCTTGAGGTATAAATGTTATTCCAGGCTCCAGGCTTTGCTCTTCTGTCTGAAAAGCATCTTTCACCCTAAGCCATAGCCATGGATCATGGTCTGTGAATGCTGTAAGATGGGCGAGGTACACATTGTGAAATCCCCACCACAGCCAGGAGGAGAGTGGCCAAGACCTCAGTGATGTGGGGAGAGCAGGTGGGGACTGAAATGGCCTGTCCTGCAGGCAGCCAACACAGACTCACACTGTGAAGACTTCCAATGCCAAACATCAATTGTCATTGCCTCTGGAAAAGCAACTGGCATTTACAACAGAAGGCTTGAACCTGATCGGGAAACTACAGGAATAATGAAAATTTCTGGTCCTTTAACATAAGCAGTGAGTTGTCAAAGCCACCTTCATCTGAACCTCCTAGTGTTTTTCCTCCCCTTTGGATTCCAGGTACAGTAAACACAAGTATGATTTCATGAAACAACATTTTTATTACATCTTTGCCTCTGACACTGTTTACAACATTCTTGGTTTTTCTCATTTCCACTCTGCTCT